GGATGGGGCAGATGGGAGCCGGCAGCAGGATCTTCGGAGCTTGGCACGAGGGATCTCCGAGCTGCTGACGCCATACTAGGCACATGCAAGGCACTGCACCTGTACACACAGGCGCATGGTCCTCCAAGCATATGACAACGCACTGCTTTGGCTTGCCAACACCCCCTCTCCACACCGGCCGCTACGACACAGTCCAGACTCCACCTTGAGGAGCTCCTGGAGCAGGGGCGGGGCCAGGGGTCCGGCACCGAGCAGACGCCGCAGCGTGTCGAGCATGGGTTTCCAGGTGGAATCCAGCAGCGTCCGCAGGACGTCGTCCGCAGACGGGGCCCCAGGCTCTGTCGTCGCCGTGTCGTGCACAGCGGCGTCCGAGGCTGCAGCATTCGAGAGTGTCGTGGCTGCTGCATCGCCAGCCGCCGCGTCGCCCTCCCCCGAGTCCCACCCGGCAGGCAGGCCCCCTGCCAGGCCCTCCAGGGTCACGGCAAACGCACTCATCCCCTCCAGGGCCAGGGCCGCCAGGGCCGCGCGCTGCCCTGCCGCAGTAGCAGCGCCGGTGCCAGGGTCCGGCTCCAGCGACCCTGGCCGGCCCAGCAGCGCGCGGGCCATGGCGGCCGGCAGCGGATCGTCCTCGGCGTCACGCCCCTTCTCCACGCTTTCCAGCACCAGCAGGCAGGCCTCGGCCAGGCTGCGCACAGGCTCGGAGCGGGACGCCTGCGGTGAGGGTGGGGCGATTGATTGGTTCAGAGATGGAACAGGGATGTGGAGAAACATCGCGCCGCAATCCCAGCCGTGTGCACCGCAGGGATGAGTGGTCGCTGGGCCTTGTCATGAGTGCTGGCAGCTCTGGAAGCACCTTCTGCTCAAGGGGCCTCACCATGCTTCCAGCACCATCCTGAAACCACCCCCTCAAAACCATCCAGCAAGTCCCACCTTGTCGTGGTCATACTTGGCTCCCAGCCAGGCGAGCAGGGGGCCATCCCCGAGGAGCAGCACCACAGCATGGAGCACCGCCACCCTCTGGAAGTTGGGCTGGCCCGCCTGCAGGCCTGCACGTGGATGGGAAGAGAGGGTGGCATTGGTGGAGTATCCGCTTTTGAGGAAGCGGTGGAGACACATCTTCATGGGTTTTGTAGATCCCACAAACACACAGGCGTCCTCCTCCCTCCCTTCCCCACCGCAAAGCGCACCTGAGAGTAGGCTCTGGACCAGGGGCCCGGCGCCAGCCCCCAGCTGGCAATGGAAGGTGCCGAGCAGGGTGCGCACGCAGCGCAGCGCAGCACGCAGCGTGGGGAAGTGCGCCGTGGCGAAGGCTGAGGCCGCCACCCCTGCGTCCAGATGGTCCTGAGAGATGGGGAGGAAGGGGTACGATGTGGTCAGGGCTGGAATCCCTGAGGCAGGTGAGTCTGTGTTCATCGAAAGGGGTGCACCTGGCGTCCAGAGCACGGCAAAACCTCACAGTCCACACATATCCCCACACCTGGAGCTGCGGCCTGAGCAGATCGGGCATGGTCTGCGCCACGATGGGCTGCAGGCCGAGGATGTCCATGAAGCAGGCGGGGGAGGTGGCAAGCACAAACTCCAGGAGTTCCAGGACCTGGGTCCGCGGGAGAGAGGGGGTCTGCAGCCACACCGGCTCCCCACCTGGTGGGGCATGGGGGTTGATGCGATGGTGGCAAAGGGTGAGGCAGAGTGTGACCCAGTGCCTCAAACAGGCTGTCGTTCGGGAGCAACACGCCTTGCCACGATCTGATATGGAGCTGTGGAACGCATGCAGGTCAACTGCATCCCTTTTCTCCAATCCACACTCAATCGCCACGGCCTTGAAGAATGTGTGGCATGGATTCCCTAGGTTCTATCCACCTGTTCCCCTCCCTCTTCCCCGCCCGCCCCGGCCCCCCCCCTTTCCTCCCACCCTTTACTCCCACCTGCAGCGATGGAGCAGAGGTCGGACATGACGCGCACGACCACCCCCTCCACCTCGCCCTCCCGGATGTAGGACAGCAGTAGCGCCAGCGCCTGGCGCACCGTGGCCGCCGCGGTGGTGGTCACCGTGGACTTGAAGCCCTTGGCCGCCAGGAAGCCGAAGCAGACGCCCAGCAGCGGGCCCAGCGCGGCGGAGGTGATGGGGTGCAGGGGTGACTGCAGCAGGGTCAGCGCCGTCTGCAGGCACTTGAGCTGCACGCGCTCGTCGGAGAGCCGGGCGGCGGAGGTCAGCATGCCCAGCACCGCTTCGGCCCCCTCGGCCGACGCGGCCGAGTTGGCCAGCAGCTTCTGCGCGGTGGCCAGGGCCTGGCCGGCTAGCCGGGGCGAGCGGGTGTCCGCCGCGAGCTGGAGGGGGCGGAAGAGCTCCTGTGTATTAATTTTTTGGGGGGGGAGCCGGGATGTTAAGGGGGGCGGTGCATGGGAATGCGGGGTACCTGGCAGCGAGGGGGATGCACTGCACTGCAGCTACATGGGCTCCTTCAAACATTTGCCAAGGTGCTCAAGCTAAAGTGGTTGATGCATCTGTGGCATCCCTATGATCCACAGGCCATGGTCAGCTGAACAATGGCAAGCCTAGCTCACCCCTCCTTCCCTCTCTCCAACCCAACACTGGCTGGACTCACCTTGCACTGGGCCAGCTGTGTGTTGGCATCAGGGACGTCAGCCAGGGACCTGATGCGCAGTAGCGCCTTCTCCGCCGCCTCCTTGATCTCGGGGTGGTCGGTGGAGGTGAAGAGGCCCGCAAAGCCCTCCGTCTTCCGGGCCTCCGTGGACAGTTGGCGATACTCCGCCTCCAGAGCCGCCACGAAGCTGGTCGAGGAGGATGGTGAATTCATACCTATGCATCAATGTAGGCTCCCGGGAACCTTTGGCAGGCTGCAGGCCCGCAGGGGCCGGAGTGCCGAGCGAGTCGGATCACTTTCTCCCTGCCCACACTTGGATCCAGCATGCCATCTTCGCGGGGGGACTGAATGCCGAGCACGTTTCCTATGCACCCTTATATCGGAGCAGGCACTCCTCGAATGCTAGGCCAATCACAACGGTGCACGGCACGGGTAACTCGTGCGCCTAAACCGGTGCTCGCAGCAGGCGGGGCACGGACCCCACCGCGCGACATGCATGCAGCCACCAACTGGTCGAGAGGATACATGCGTGGCCCAGCGTCCAACTCTATCTTGCGATCAATATAATGACGGTGCGTGTTGTGTCCCTGCTCCCCAGCGCCACCGAGATCGTGACCAAGGTGATCTTGGCGCAGGGGCCGGCGCCGACAGTACAGCTCGTGGGGAAGAGGTGGGTATGGGTACAGGCACCGGAATGGGCATCGAGAAGTATTCGAGATCCATGCATGGAATGAAACTCTGCATTGCGTCGAGCCAGGGAAACCGGATCATGGTCTCGGCGAGTATGCACTGGCCTCCTCACCGCCTTGCAGCCACGAGTGCGACTACGGCCCTACCTCCCTGGCCGGCCTACCGATCCTGACGGCTGCCAGGACCAATTTCACCACATCAGCCGACGTGGATGAGCAGGTGCGCACCTCCCTGGCTGCAGGAGAGAGCCTCTACTCCGTGGATAGGGACCTCCTCCGGAGCCTGAAGCCTGATGTCGTTCTCACCCAGGTACAAGGCGGGGAGAGGGGCTTCTGCATACGATTTGCGTTGATTTTATATGATCTAAAGGCGGACACCCTGTTCAGTATCTGCGCTCGTGCCTCCGTGAAGCATCCCTGGCCTCTTGACGTTTCTATCCGCCACCAATGCCCCACCACCGATCCTATTCCCCTGCGCTCGACCACACAACCCCGCAGAGCCTCTGCAAGGTGTGCAGCGTCGACTTCCGCACGGTGCAAGCCGCCGTGGCGGAGATGCAGCCCCCGCCCATCCTGGTGGACCTGTCGCCCCAGAACCTCTGGGAGGTGCTGGACGACCTGACCCGCGTGGGCGCCGCAGTTGGCGACCCCGCCGCCGCCGCCGCGGCCGTGGCCGAGCTCCGCGAGCGCATCGCGGCTGTCCGCTCCAAGCTGGCAGAGAGGCGGGAGCAGCAGGGGACCCAGAGCCCCAGTGTGCTCATGGCGGAGTGGACTGACCCCATCTTTGTGGGAGGGCACTGGACCCCCCAGCTGGTGCACATGGCTGGGGGGTCCCACGTCCTCAACCCTGGAAAGTGAGGATGCAGGGGAGGTCCAGGTGGACTGGGGACAAGCCAGCGGTCCTGGTGTCGAGGGGTGGTGGGGTCCTGGGGAGCGCGGGGATGCGCATGAAGAAGTGGAGGGTGAGAGGTGTGAGTTGGGGATGTGGTGGCCGCGCAGTTTGCCAATCATCCTGGGCCATGTCACCAGAAATGAAGTTGAAGGCCCAAGGCTGTACTCAGCTCCCCTCCCATCCCCCTCCACTCCTCCACTTCCGCTTGCAGTGACGAGGGCGGAGCGGGCAAGAGCTATGCATGCCCCTTTGCCGATGTGGCCCAGGCAGACCCAGACTGGCTTATCGTGGCACCATGCGGGCTGGACATCCCCACCACCAAGCGTGAGATGGCACCCCTGGTGGCACAGCCTGGCTGGTGAGTCAGTACCTGTGCTGAGGCAGCAAGGGTGGGTGTATGGAGTGGGAGCTGGTGCACATCTGCCTGCTGGCTCGCATGTCGTGGGGCCTGGGTGATGAGGAGTGGGCCTCAGGCACCTGCCAGTGCGAGAGGCTTTATGAGTCACAGGCTTGCTGAGCACGCCCTTCTGCGGCCAATCTCCTTTCAGGACATCATTGAAAGCGGTGAAGAAGGGCCAGGTCGTCATTGTCGATGGCAATCAGGTCGGTGACATGCATGAGGAGGCTGGGATGGCTGCGAGACGCTGGAACCCTCGACGTGTCCTGGCCCACATCGGCCTTTTCTCCTGCCTCGCTGCCGTGCACGCCCACGCCCAAACACCCTCCTGCCCTCCCTTGTGCAGATGTTCAACCGCTCGGGGCCGCGCCTGGTGGACGCTCTGGAGTTCCTGTACTCCCTGCTGTGGAACGAGCCTCAGGCCATGCCCGCGGGCTTCCCCTATGAGATGTGGTCGGACGCACGACAGGCCTGACCCATGCTCTTTTCCCTACCCATATCCCAACCTGACGCCGCTCAGCCAAGGCGGGTTGCATGTACATACACTCTCAAGTACAAAAGGGAACAGGGAAAAAGGTTGAAGTGAGTCAAAAGTTCACAGCGGGGCCCAGCGGACCTCACGCCAGTTTTAGCATGTGGGGCAAGCCGACAGATGTAGCTGGAGTTCAAGGCCCAGTTGGGCACGCCTTGGAGATCAACAAGGTGAGGTGGGGCTGCAGGTTCATGGGCAGGCATGTACCTGCTGAAACCCGAGTAACCCCTGTCCATGAAGAAGAAAAATGCTTGCTGTCTGCCGGTCAGCGCTCAGGGGAGGCAAGCCTTGGTGCTCGTGCGCAGGCGCACGGCGGCGGAGGCGGAGGCAGTGCTGTAGGCGTTTGCAATCCGCCGCGTTCTCGTCTTGGGCATCTGAGATTGGCCTTCGATCTTCAGGGAGTCCTTGGGGGGCCGGCTGACGCGAGTCGTCGGCTGGACGCCACGTGGGTGCCTGGGCTTGCGCCAGCTGGCCAGAGATAGCCAGAGCAGGGTCACGTTGAAGGCGATGAGGATGACCTGGGCGCCACAGCACAGCGCCATCTCCCACCAAGCAAACTGGGGAGCCTATGGGATGCGAAGGAGCAGTTGGAGGCTGGTGGGCGGAGAAAGGCATTGGTGAGCTTTGGAAGCTAGGAGGGCAGACCAAGCAGAGACCTCTACGGTAGTACCCTGCCATGTAAGTACAGGGGCATGCCCCATGACACAGCCGCCCAAACTAAGGGGACTCTGCACAGTCGACCACATCATGCAATGCTGCTGAGCTCTCAACCCACCCAGAGGCCACACAACATTGGCGCCCGACCTGCAGCTCTCGGTAGAAGAGCACTAGCATGTATGGGTAGAGGAAGATTCGCATGGGGAAGAAGGTGATCCAGTATGCGACGGAGAAGGGGGTCCGGAGACTCCGCCACTGCCTCCTGGCGATGAGGAAGAGAGTGTTCAACTCGCACAGCCCATCCTGTGGGGCAAAGAGGATGGACACTGGCCTTTACACCCTGCTTCACAGCCACAGATCGTGAGTAAAATCATACATCCCAAACAAGCTACATGTGACTGTGCGCCGCCCAAGGTCATTTCAGACTACTTGTGATGGAGCCATGAGCCGGGTACAACACAGCAGCCCTAGTGGAACGCAAGAAAAACCCCAGGCCCATTCACAACGCCCACCGCTGCTCTGCGTCCCCGGCACTCACCCAACATGTGTAGCGACCAAACTGGGGGTAACGCAGGGGGAAGAGGAGGAGCACCAGCGTCACGACATGGTGGACGAGGATGATGCTGGGCAGGGACGGCACTGCCTCGGGGATTGCGGCCACCCAGAGCAGGTCAACCGCGACGTAGACGCTGAAGATAGCAGACACGATGGTGGTGTCCACGTACCCCAGCAGGCCCGCCACCGTCAGGCTGCCAATGATGGGCAGCAGCACCAGGTTCACCCTGTCGTGCAGGTGACATGCAGGCTTCATGGCCGCTCGAACGCGGCCGGTGGGATTCAAAGTCGCCTGAAGACTCTCAGTAATCTTTGCGTTCCCTGCGGACCTGGAGGGACGCGAGTCTCGGCGTCGCAGGCAGGTGAGGGGAAGTGGAGAGCGTCACGCCGTAAACGTGACGCCGCCCGGCTGGAGAGCTGTGTCGTGGAGAGGTGCAGATATGACGAGACAAATGCTTTTATGTCTTCGAATTCTATCCTCAAGTCTGTGTAACAGCACATTACGCGGCTTAATATTCGGTGAAGTTCGAAGATGCGGACCGCTTCGACACGTCAGCACTTCCTCGTCGTGGATCTCATTTGGCTGCAGGCGCAGCTGCCGAGCTGCGGGCGCGGACAGCCACAGATTGCATCACCTCCGCCAGGCCAGGGTCTGAGCCCTCCCCTCCTCACTCCACCCGACGGAGTACAGGCTGCCTGGCATGCACAGCACCAAGGTCACCAAACGCAGCCCCCAGTCTGGCTTCCGCGTCGTCGATCCTGGGAATGGGGGGTGCATGACAGGTGGCGATTGATTCCACACACCATCCGTTTCAGTGTCCGCACACCTCCTCATGCGCACATGCCAGTGCCTCACGGCTCACCAAGCCGGGACCCACCTGTGTTTCAGGCCGTGGGTATGCGCCGCTTCCGCCGCACGCCTGGCCTGGTGTGCAGAGCTGGCCCTCGGCTCAGGTTCGTCATGCACTGACGGGATCAGGGGAGGGGCGCTTGTTTATGTTTGTGAAGGGTTGGTGGCATATATGGGGGGGTTGAACTCGACGCCCCTTCAGCAGACCACCCCTGCGATCATCAGTGATCTCCATGGGGTAGCCCCAAACGGGCTCTGAGCTCCAAGCCACACCCCGTCGCACAGAATCGCACCTGATGGGAAGGTGGGCATGAACTCCTGGGCCTTGGGGAGGGGGTGCTCGGAGAAGAAGGGGTGGCGCAGGGCTGCGCGCGCAGAGATGCGCTGCGACGGGTCGTAGGTCAGCAACTTGTTCAGCAGATCGATGCCGGAGACGGACAGCTCAGGAAAGCGCTGCATTGAGGGTGAGTTGAGGGTGATGGGTCGAAGGTGGGGCCCAGGCAGGTCAGCCACAAGGTGCTTCCATCGTAAAGTGAGGGGTTTAAGTGGAGGGCAATGCTTTGCAGCTTGGGGACTTATGCAAAGGCTTTCAGCATTGGTGGCTAACCAACTTGGTCCTTTCACCCCCGCAGCATCTTTAGCTGAGATTCCCGCAGCTCTGGCGATCCCATCTTTGCCCTCTGCCAACCTGCTTGAGATGGTTGTGTGGCTGGTCCGGGAGCTGCAGCGTGGTCCAGCCAGGCAGTCGGCCAACGCTGGGCCAAATGCGTGTGTTGGGCGACCCCAAGACGCCGCCCATCGCCGCGAGCATGGCGAGCTCTGTGGGTGGCATGACGGGGGTCGTGCGGCTTCAGCATGTCATTCCAGGGTGGGTGTGCGGCATTGCTCCAGGGCACAAGCAGTGGCGTGGTGATGCGTTGGGACACAGCAGGCTGAGCGGCACCCCGCTGATCCCCCCTCGCTCATGTGTCGATGAGAAGGCCGGCAGGCAGGGTGGTCGAAACGGCTATCTCGCTGCATCACCGCTGCAGCCCGCCTGCGTGCCCACCCTCGGCGAGGGAATCTCTCTCACCACCCAGTATCACCTGTCCGTGCTGGAAAGAGCGGCGCATTGCGCAAGAGCTCGGCGAAGATGCACCCCGCTGCCCAGAGGTCGACTGCGCCGTCGTACTGCCTGGCGCCCAGCAGTACCTCGGGCGACCTGTGCGGCAGGAGCGCACGAGGGGAATCGAGGGCATGGTGGGGCCTTGAGGAGAGCGGCCCCACAAGCTCCGCCATGCCCAATACGATAGAGGCCCAGGGCGCAGGAGTATGATCCAGCACAAACACGCACGCCTGAGCCGCGGCCCAGTGGAACCCCGATTCGATGCGTACCTTGCCGCTCGCATGCCTTTCGCCCTCACCCCTCCCTCCCTCGCCCCAGCACCTGTACCACAGGGTGGTGACGCCCGGGGTCAGGGGCTCTGGCCTCGGCGCCCAGCGCCTGACCAGCCCAAAGTCGCACACCTTCAGCTGGCCATGCTCGTCCAGGAGCAGGTTGCTGGGCTTCAGGTCCCGGTGCATCGTCCACCTGGCATGCAGGTACGCCAGTGCGCTCAGCAGCTGCGTGGTGCGGCGGGACGAGGATTGGGGGTTGCATGGGGGGGAGTGGGTGAGTACAGCCCCTGGGCCAGTACCAGACATGTGCCTTGCCGTGTTTTCGAGGGCACACCCCGTCAAACGGGATCGTTGAGAGATCACACCATTCCCGTTTACAAAAAACCCTCATCTCACCCAAATCACACCCACCCAGTCCCTCCAATCACACATTGCACAAGCTCTTGCAATCCCCTCTCCCAGGCGCTACCTGGTGGAGGAGGCACTTGATCTCCGACAGCACCAGGGGCACGGCCAGGCGGTCCACGATGTGCGCCAGGTCGTGGGGGCAGTACTCGAAGACGAGGAACACGGAGTCCAGGGAGGCGCCTGTGACCACGCCAAGCAGGGCGACGATGTTGGGGTGGGACGTCTCCTGCAGGGACCTGAGCTCCCGTACACTGGTGACCGGCATGCCTGCCAGAGGTTTTGTCAGAGGGTGGGGGAGAGATTTGGAAACTGAGTGCAAGTTATGTGCAAGGGGAGAGTCGGGCAGCCCACCAGTTTGCGTAACGAGTCAAGAAGGGCAATTGCATCTCCCCTGCACACCGCCAACCCACCATCACGCTCTCGATCCAGGCGCAGCCTCTTGAGGGCCACGATCTTGCCAGTGCGGCGATCGCGTGCTTTGTCTGTGGGATTGGATAGGATTAGTCGGTCAAGTGCGAGGGGTGAGAGGGGCGAATGGTGGGCTGCCTTCACCTGGGGCACCAGGGGCCAGGGGTATGGCTGCCAGACAAGACGGGGAACCACCGTGGGGCGCACAATGGGGCAAATGCCAAGCCCAGACGGTCATCCACCACCTCCTCCTACAGCCCAAGGAGCTAGCGGCGCCCACCCTCAACTCACATACAATGCCAAAAGTCCCCTCCCCAATGCGCTTCAACTTCTCACTGCAATGCAGGGATACTGACAGAGTGATTTCGGGGGGGACATTTCGAGATCTTCCACATATCAACTCATCTTGCATGCAAACCAGCCCACGCACTAGTCATAGACGTCCTGAATGACCGGGAGGGCCGTGCCAACCACCGCGCCCTCCCCCTCGGCCATGACCTCTCGGTGGCGCAGGGCGTACTTGCTACATCTAGGGGTCCACACCAGCGACAATCAGGTCCTCATGTTCAATTAAAAGACATGCGCATTGACATTACACCGCCATGCTATGCAGTCTGTCAGCGAGGTCTCGGAGAGCATTTGGGAAACTGGGATGGTGTCGAGGGCGCGCGCGCAGCTCAGCCCGCATGCGAACTCGAACTCCCACTCGACAGCGGGTGGGGTCTCACATACTTGGCCCACGTCCAGAATCGAACGGTGCTGTGGCCCATCCTGCGCAGTTATCAGCCGATCCCAGGAGGCGAAAGACCATCCCGGCCAGTGTCATGGCCCCGGCTGGGACGGGGCTCGTCCCCCTGCTCCTGGCCGGTCTCGCCTCGCGCCTCGCCCTGCTGATCTGGGCCGGCTGGCAGGACACCCACATGGCGGTCAAGTACACCGACATCGATTATTTTGTCATCACAGATGCTGCCCAGGCAGTGCTGGCGGGGGGATCGCCCTATGACCGGGCCACGTTCCGGTACAGCCCCCTGTTGGCCTGGATGGCCCTGCCAAACCACCTGCTGCACCCCTCCGCCGCCAAGGTCTGCTTCTGCGCAGCCGACCTTGGTGCAGCCTGGTGAGTAGTTTGGTTTCTTGGTGAGATTGTGTGAGAAGAGAAGTGCCTCAGATGGCTGAAAGTGATCAACGCAGTGCAGATCAGCGGCAGGCACAGCAGCCTACCACCAACACCCACTCCCTTCAACCCCTGACCAGGTTGATGGCCTGCCTTCTGGAACGCAGGCGTGCTCCCGTTGCCTGGGTCAAGGCAGGCTTGGCGGTGTGGCTGTTCAGCCCCTTCACCGCCGTGATCTCGACCCGGGGCTCGGGCGAGGCGCTGGTGACGTGCATGCTGCTGGGTATGCTGTGCCTGCTCGACGCCGGCAGACCCCTGCTCGCCGGGCTCTGCTACGGCCTGGCGGTGCACTGGCGGCTTTACCCCATAATCTATGCGCTGCCCTTGCTGCGAAACCTGGCCATGCGGCGGGGGGCGCGCCTGCTGAGCATCCCCGGCATTGTGTTTGGGGCGGCGGCCGCAGCAGCCTTCTTGACACTGGGCGGTCTTGGGTATCACCTCTACGGGCACTCCTTCCTTCAGGAGACCTACCTCTACCACCTTGGAAGGGTGGACCCGCGCCACAACTTCTCGCCCTTCTTCCTGCCGACGTACCTGGCGTCAGGCGGCGGCGCTGGCATCAGCATCGGGGGGTGCGGGGCGCTGACAGTTGAATGGGTAGCGGGTTCATCTTTCAGGGTGCTTGAGCTGCCAACAGAGTCACTCAGTCGATATTAGCCATGGCTCCATTGCTATGTGGATGCACGGTATTGTTTGGAAGGGTGTACATGCCGCTCATGACCACTTGCCCCCCCCGCCAACATCAATGAGTGCAACCCCTGTCCTCTTCCCTTGCTCAGGGTGTTTGGTGCTGCTCAGGCCCTACTCATCACAGTCCTTGGCTGGCTCCACGCAGCAGATTTGCCCTACGCCATGCTCCTCCAGACCCTGGCATTCGTGACTTTTAACAAGGTGGCCAGAATGGCAATGATGTGGTCATTGGACTCGAGTGACGGGCCCCAAGGTCGAGCCTGGCCGCATCAGCCCGCTCAGCAAACTACACGCCCCCCCACAGGTTTCCACGGCCCAATATTTTGTCTGGTATGTCTCTCTACTCCCCCTGGTGTTACCTCGTCTTGCTGCAGCCCACAATCGGGTGAGTGCTACCAATGGGTGGGATGTCACATGGCATTGTTATCTGTCCTGAAGTTGGGTACCCAGCTAGTGCACTGGTATAGATCCCGCCCACTTCTTTTCTCCCCATTCCCTCACATGCAGGGCCAATTGCTCTGGGCAGCAGGCATGTGTTCCGCCGCCATCGCCCATTGGCTTGCCTGGGCATACGCTCTGGAGTTCCTGGGATGGTCGGTCTTTCTACCTGTCTGGGTGGCGGGGCTGGGTGTATTGCTTGCCAAGTCTTGGCTGCTGGCCTGCCTGATGCCTGTCCCGCAGGGACAGGCCTCAGATGGCTTCCTGTACGGGAAAGCCTGTAAGAAGAAGATCACCTGAAGAGACGCACCTAACAGCTGGTTTGCTTGCAGGCTGACTTGCGGCTGATGGTGGGTGGGGGATGGACTGCACGGCTGCCCCCCTTTCCTCCCGTCGTCTGCGTGTCCTGTGAAATAGGACGACGATTTATTCTTCGCCCATGTAACAATGTGATCATGGTACTCTCATGATGCGAATGGTGCTGGGATGGCAGTCCAAATGCGCGCACTTCAGGGGAGACTGGGCAAACTCGACCGCCCATGGTCGGCATATACATGCAACATGCAGCCTCCATGCGGGAACCCAATCGTCCCTCACAGCATCAGAGATCACCCAGCGCGACCTTCTACGATGCCTGGAAGATGCAGGGGTTGTTCGCGTATCGGAGAGCTATCTTGATGCGAACAACACCCGATGGGCAGTATCGGGACAGCTGAATGTGGCCCCTGAGATTGCAGGGGCTGCTGTGGCCCGCTTCCAAATGGCCCACCTGCAAGAGGTGAGCCTTCGAAGAATGTGGATGGAAAGAAACACTTGCACCATGCGTTAATGTTCCCAGTGCATGCTGGCTGTTCAAGCTGAGCTCATTTGTGGGTTCTGACCACATGGTAGCCCAAAACATGTGCAGGATGGCATGAATGCCCCAGCAAGGACAGTGCACCTCCTCCCCGCTGGTACCGGCAGGCAAATGGCACTGGTGAATCATGAAAGAGCCGTGTGCATCATGGTGCAGCCGCTGGCGCAGGGCCTGACCCCCCTGTCACGTCTGGAGCGGCGGCTGGGTGACTCTGTGCCCACCGTCGTGTCGGCATGCAGCATCATTGGGACTGCAGCAGCCACCGCCAGCGTTTTCGGTGCCGGTGTCCTCCTGGATGGCGGTCCTCTCAGCTCAGATACTCTTGCCTCCCTCTCCACCGCTGGCTGGGGAGCCTTCGCAGTTGCCCTCATCCTTCGTGAGTGCCAGCGATGAAGCTGCCGTGGTGCGACTGGACAGCCTACTAGAGATCCCCTTATGTTGCTGTTGGAGTTGTAGGTTCTAGCGGGACAGTCTCACACTGACCAACACATACGGACAATCATTACACCAGCTGACCTACTGTATCCCCCGGCCCCTCGTCCTTCAGAGAGCCATGAGCTGGGGCACAGTCACATGGCTGCCCGGCAAGGCGTGCCACTGGGTGTTCCCGTCTTTCTCCCGGCCGGCCTGGGCCCCCTGGCGGCCTTTGGGAGCCTGAGGTCCCTGCTCGGCCCCGCCCCCTCCCGCAGCGCCGCAGCAGCGATCGCCCTGGCTGGGCCCCTGACAGGTGGGCGGCATGGGGTCGCGAGTGCTGTGACACCGCTGGCATGGCCTCCATCGGCCTGGGGAGCCATGTCCTGGCTGTCCAACCGAAAGACCATCCTACTTGAGAGTGGAGGGCGGCGGCAGCCAGTGAGCGCCCCTGGTCATCAGGCTGCCAACATCCTGTGCCTCTGCAACAGCACCAGCGCTCACCACACAGCCCCGTTCCCGGGGAGTGCAGGTCTGGCTGCCAGCTGCTCTGTGCTCCTGGTGGGCCTGCACTTCACGATGCAGGGCTGGGGCGGGCTTAACATGACCCTGGACGCCTTTGACGAGGCGGGGCCCCTGGGCGCCGTCGTGCACGCCGTTCTCGACCACGGGGACGCTGCAGCCGCGACCCTGGACTGCCACCCCTGGCTGGTCGCCGGGGCTGGCGGCGTGCTCATCAATGCCCTGGCCCTCGTACCAGCAGGTGGGGGCCGATGGCGAATGCACATTGGTTTCGGGGTCTCCTACTGATCCAACATGGGCCAGTGTACACTCCTGCCGGGCATGGCTTGGGAGGGGGTTTGTGCAGAGTGGTTGCCAACTGCGTGCTTGTGAAGCATGGTCCATGATGATGGGCAGCACCTCACCAAGACGGCGGCCTTGGGCAGGATCTCAAGCCCTTGAAAACAACATCCCACCCGCTGCCCCTCCCCGCAGGGGACACCGACGGCGGGCGACTGGCGACCCACATCCTGGGGCGGGAAGCTGCCATGCGGCTGTCCCTGCTCTCGCTGGCCCTGCTGGGCGCGCTGGGCTGGGTCAACCAGCTGGCGGACTGGTGGCTGCCGGCCCTCCTGATCCTGCATGGCTCACCTCCGGCCTTGTGCACCGACGAGGTCACCCCCGTGTCGAAGGACCTGAAGCTGGCCGGCCTCCTCTGCCTGTGCCTGCCAGCCGCCATGCTGGTCCCCCGCTTCGGGGGCAGCTGAAGCGGTGAATCGGGTGGAGAATTACTTGGATTTTGGGTCCAATGGAGTAACAGGAAGGGAGATGTAAGCAGGCCGAATTAGGTGCACCTGTGGGGTTGCATGTGCGGTTGAGTATGGTAGGGAGAAGCAACCAGCGCTCCGGGTTAACAGCGTCGCGACGAAGTGCTGAATCGGAGCGGTCCGACCGAGGCCTACCGAAACACGCCAGTGGCACCATGGCTGTATGATGCTCCACGCAATACTCTCGCAAAACGTTGTTCATCTCGCCGGTACCATCCCGAGCATCCATCCGACACCAGGGCTGGGCGTCGAGCCGTCCCGGTACAGGGTGTCGGAACCGGCATCCGCACACAGGCAACTGCCAGCCACTTGCGTGACACACCCCCTTGCGCAGCGGTCTCTTGCTCATGGATAGCCGCCGAGAACCGTTGCAGGCCTTGGCTGGGGTGGTGGCAGGGCCCTACGGCCCTGGCATGGACCAGGCTCGGAAACTCGGTCTGAGTGAGGTGGAGGAGCTGTACGCCTATGACGGCGGGCAAGACTCAGGGGTCGTGGACAAGGTGCTCTTCATTCATCGGGGCATGGAGGTCGATCGGGTGCATCGCATGGTTGCATGCACTGTTTTGCCGGGCTCCATGCTCAGCCATACATGCCGAACTCCATGAGACCACCTGACCCCTGGTTGTGAGCATGCCCCTGCACCACTTGAGCACCGCCCTGCTGCCGCCATCCGCAGTCCAGTCCTCACCCTCTCTTCCCTCAGGTCCTGGCGCTGCTGGACCGGCACGCCCCCAGAGCGGACCGCAGGCAGCTGGGCATCTTTCTGGAGCTGCTGCGCTGGAGGCTGGGCACCCTCCTCCTCTGCGGTCGGGACTGCATGCACGGCTGGCTGGGCGCTCCCCAGGCCTTTGTGGCCCTGTCCCCCGCCCAGCGCGAGGCCGCGGTGCTGGCCTGGGTCCGGGCCGGCAGCCTCTCCCAGATCAAGGCGGGTGTTCCTGGGGGAGCCAGGATGGCCTCATCGAGAGCGGGCCGGCCTCGATTCAGGCAGGAGGGCCTGCATTGTTGCAAGCAGAACTGGACCCTCCTCCACTTGGACCCCCAACCCGCAGGCCTGGACCGGGGTCAAGAAGCTGGTGGCCCTGTGCCTGATGTCCAAGCTGGAGGCGGATGGCAGCAGCCGGGCAATGCGCGCGCTGGGGTTCCCGATCAGGGACCCGCGCTCGGACCCGGCCCGCACCGAGCGGGCGGGGCGGGCCGAGGCGGGGCTGGAGGCTGCCATCTGCGACGTGGCCAGCTTCTCCGCAGCCTCTGCCACAGACGTCACCGCGCTGGCCGCTCGCCTGCGGTCCCTCGGCCTGCAGCCCGTCGACCCGGCCCGGTGCGCCCCGCCCGGCACGCCGGCTGCTCTCCTCGCGGGCGCCCCGCACCTGGTCCTCAGCGCTGACGTCGTGGTGGTGGGGTCCGGGGCCGGGGGCGGCGTGGCGGCGGCGCAGCTGGCCACCGCCGGGCTGCGGGTGCTCGTGGTGGAGAAGGGGGCCTGGGTGCCGGTGGACGCCATGACGCAGCAGGTGCAGGGTGGGGCTGAATTCACTTGGTGGGGTCGGGGCCCAAGGATGTGAGGTGGCCGGGCAGCGTTTTGATATGCAATGAAGGGAGGGCGGCGTGAGGGCGCTGCCGTCCGGGAGCTACATTTCAGAAGCCTTGATCCAGAACCCGGCGTCGGGTGCCACCTCCTCACCACCCCCCATGCAACCAAATCTCCCATCTTTCCACAGGAGGACGAGGGGTACAGCGCGTTGTACGAGGCCGGGGGGTTCATGCAGGACAGCCGGGGCTTGATGGGGGTGCTGGCCGGCGCGACCCTTGGCGGCGGCACCAGGGTCAACTGGTGCGCCTCCTTCCGCACGCCAGAGCACGTGCGGCGGGAGTGGGCGGCGGCGCACGGCCTGCTGTGCTTCACAGGCGCGACCTACGAGTCGGCAATGGACGCCGTGTGCGAGCGCCTGGGCGTGCGGACGGGTGGGCAGGATTTCAGGGGTGGAGGGGGGGTGGGTGCGGGGGCATGGGAAAGGGTGTGGTTTGTGCCCCTGGGTGCTCGTGTGTGTGTTCCTCCTTGGGAGAGGAGGTTCTTCCCAGCGTGCACGAGACCGTCGAGGAGATGGGGTCGGCCACGCCAGCTTCTCCGCTCCCGACCGCTGCGCCACTCCTCCTCCATGTGACACAGGCTACCGGCACAGCGCCATGTGCCGGTCGCTGGCCCAGGGCTGTAGGGAGCTGGGCGAGCCGGTGAGCGAGGTGAAGCGGAACTGCCAGGTGGACGACTGCAGCTCCTACTGGTGGGTGCTAGTGTGTGCGGGCTTTGGGAGAGCAGGGCAGCACCTGGCAGGGGCATCTGCTCCCTTTGTTGCAGCCCGATGAGAGGCGTCGCAGGCTGCCGTAGACAAAGCCTGCGTCCATGCCACGCGGCGCCGTCTGCCCCGCTCCCTCCCTGACTCGCCCCTCCTCCCCGCTGTGCACCCCTCCACCCGTTTGACAGCACGCTGGGCTGCAAACTGGGTGGAAAGCAGGACTCGGTGCGCGCGTGGCTGACGGAGGCCGTGGACGCGGGCGCACGCATCCTCACAGGTGCTGTCGGGTGGCGTGCCGAGGGGCCAGGCCTGGCATGGAGAGGGTTTGACGCCTGCACCCCCTCATGTGCATGGTCTGCGGGGAGGATGCCACCTCCCCAGGAGACCACAGACTGTCAATCAGACAGGCAGGCAGAATATCCGGGGGCACAAGGTTGCCCAAGTGCCGCCATACAAACTTTGCAGGTGCCTGGGCCGAGCGCATCGTGACCGAGACGCGGGGATCTGCCGGCCGGCCGGCGCGTGTGGTCGGGGTCTCGCTCCGCGGCGGCTCGCCGGGGACAAAGGGCCACGGCCTGCGCATCGCTGTCGCGGCGCGGCTGGTGGTGGCCGCGGGCGGCAGCCTGCACACGCCCGCCCTGCTCCTCCGCTCTGGGATACAGGGGCGGGGCAATGTGGGTGAGCCTGGGGGGAGGTGGGCATCGGGTGCGGAGGTTACTAGCAGCAGGGGATTGCTTTGGCGGTAGGGCCCAGAGAGAGAGGGCTGCTATGCACAGACCGGAGTAGGTGACCGGGAGCATGCGTGGGAGGGTCTGGCTGGGGCTTGGGGCCTGTAGCGGGGGCGGGCTGGTCGAGATTGATTGCCTCGAGGTGGCGACGCCCCGGCTCCATGGACCCCCCCACGCCAGTCTGCACACCTACGACACCGCTCCCGCCCGCAGGCAGGCACCTCCACCTCCACCCTGTGTGCATGACGTTGGGCTTCCTGCGCAGCCCGCCCCGCCTCGACGCAGCGGTGGGGCTGGCCGGCGCAGCCACACCCCCGCTGCCCGACCTGGAGGACAGGGGAGGCCGCCCCGCATCTGACCACGGCAGCGTGCAGCTGTGGGACGGGACGGGCATGTCGACCTTCAGCGCGGCGCGCGGCGACTGGGAGGGCAGCGGCTACGGCTCACTGCTCTACACGCCCCAGGTCCTGCCCGGTTCCGTCCTTTCTAGCATGCCCTGGCTGGGCCAGGCTGACTTCAAAAAGTACATGGCCCGCCTCCCAGACGCCTCTCTGTTCCTCACCATCGTCCGCGACCGGGGGGAGGGTGAGGCCGGTGCAGGACGGGCAGTTTGTGGGGCGGGTAAGGTCCGTATGCTGTTTTACATCGAGGGGGGCCGATGTGGCATGATCATTGTCTGGACCAAGAGTCTTGCTTGCATCGGGCCTGCCCCGCTGCTTCCTCTGAGCACGGCTGCCAACTTTGCATACGCAGCCTGGTCTGGCACTGTCCAGGCTCTTGAAGCGACGACCCCTCGACACCTCCTTGTTCGGACATACCATAAACCAAGAAAATCACGCACATTCCCTCCACCAGGCTCCATCACCCTGGATGGCGACGGCCAGCCGGTGGTCAACTACAGCCTGTCTGCCGAGGACGAGGGGGCCATGGCCTCAGGGTCGGCCTTTGCGGCGCGTGTTGCCGCGGCCGCGGGGGCCGACACGGTGATGACCCTGGACGCCGACCCGCGCTGCCGCTTCCTGTTTGTGGACGAGGGGGCAGGGTCGGGCGTGAGCGTCATGAATGGGGAGGTCGTGGCGGGGGCGGGTGGCACGCCCTCCCTGCCGGCGCAGCTGGCGCCGGAGGGGCCCGCGTCGCTGCTGACCCCGGCGGACGAGGCGGCGCTGGCGCTGGGCAACGCCGCTCCGGCCTCCGGCTCAGGCGCGGCGCAGGCGCGGCACCCCGCCTTCCGGCGCTGGCTGGCGGAGCGGGAGGCGGGGGGGATCGCCACGCGGCGCACCCCGCTCTTCTCCGCACACCAGATGGGCTCTGCGCGGATGGGCACCGACCCCGCCGCCTCGGTGGTGGATGCCGAGGGCCAGAGCTGGGACGTGGCAGGACTGTATGTGATGGACGCCTCCACCTTCCCCACAGCCACAGGTGGTGGGGCCGGAGAGGGGTCTGTGCTCGGGGCTGGAATGGAGTAGGGGTTGAGTGGTCCAGCGAAGCGAGATTGTGGAAGCCTGTTGGTCGTAATGGGGACGATGCCCGATGCCCATGCAGTGCCCCAGATGAAAGCTTCCTCCCCTCCCCCCATGCCTCAGGCGTGAACCCCATGGTCACGGTGGAGAGCATTGCCTATATGCTGTCATCCTTTCTGGCAAGGAAGGAGGCACACCAGACGAGGACGGACGAGTAGATCAATGGCGGATGACGCTGCATAGCTGTGATCATGAATATAAAGTAGGTGCAGAGGCGTGCAGGCTGCACTGCATAAACCGGCTGGCTGTCGAGCCTCGGGTACCGTCATCGGAAACAGAACTCCTTCAGCATGTGTTGGACATCAAGGTACTCCCATGTGCTGGTATCCTCCCAGTTGCACCGCGCCGGTTGCATCATCATGCAGAGGAGTGCCCTGCTTGCATCCAGCTGCACCTGTTTGGACTGAAATGCCAGCGGTGCATGCAGTACAAGGATCAATCTTACAGCCCAAGAATGCTACTCGACAAGTTTTTGCAGAAACGTGGGGTGCAAACCTGGGTAGAAAAGCAACGGCAACCAGAATCAGGGCAGACTGACAGGTGGGAAACACTGTCCCCGCACCAGTTCAGGTCTCTGCCTTGACGCCAGTGATCAGCACGAATTTGATGAGGCCCATAGACAGGCCCCTGGCCATGAGCGGCATGACCAGTGCCCCCTGGTCATGGGCGAGAGGTGACGCGAGGGGGGGTTTCTGGTGATGTGATGCACAATATGCCTTCCTGCCCCGGCAACCGCAAGCCTCAGCCCCCGACTCCAGTCCCTCACCTTGATCGTGGTCCACCCCGCTTTCAACAGGCCGGCGACGCCTTGCGTGGTCAGCGCGCTCTTGATCACCTGGCCCCAGAAGGGCTGCACCTCCACGGACCAGTCCGCCGTCTTCACATCTGCACAAGGGTGGGTGGGGTGGGCGACGAGGGGCGGACAGAAGAGATCCTGCCTCCAAGCCCTGCAGAGTTCGCTGCCCTCCCTCGTCGTCGCAGCCGCTCTTTCCTCATGCAGGCCCACTTCGCAGCACCACCCACCCCTGATTCCGTGTGCAGCAAAGAGGCGCTCGTAGTCGGCCAGAGAGCACCAGGCTGGGAGGTAGTAGGCCTCGCACAGCCTGTCCAACAGCGTCTGTTCCTCCGGGGTCAAAGCAGTTTCTCCAGGTGCCAGGTTCCTGGACAGGTGGTCGAGGGGAGGGAGAGTTCATGGTGGTGCAGGAGCAGGAAGGCGTGGCGGGCAAGTGGGAGAGCACAGCGCCATTCCTTCCCCTGTCTGCTTCCCACTGGACTCCTCATCGACATTGCGGACGCCATGAGTCTCGTTGTTGCAACCCTCGACTGTGTCGATGAATCGACGCCAGCAGCTCCTGTGCGGCTCACCTGTGGCACCAGGTCACGATGATGATGCGCCCCCCCGGCAGCGCCACGCGCGCCAGCTCCCTCACGAAGGTCTCCTTCTCGGGCATGTGCTCCCCGCTCTCCAGCGACCACACCAGGTCAAAGGAGCCATCCGGGAAGGGCTGGCTCAGGGCGTCCGCCACCTGGAATGCGGCGCGGTCCCCCAGGCCCGCCTCGCGCGTCATCACGTTGGCCCGGTCAGCCTGGACGGGACTGAGCGTGATGCCTCGCGCCTCAGACCCAGGGTACCGGTCCAGGATGTGGCGGGAGCTGCCGCCCAGGCCGCACCCAACATCCACCACCTGCCAGGGGTTGCAGAGGGGGGACAAGCTCCAGGAGGCTGCATGCATTACAACTCGAACCCTTGAACACACAGACAGGGAGGTCCTGCTGGCAGGTGCACAGGAGCCTCCCCACAACTTTGGTAGCTCCTACACTCATGCATTCGAGTCCTACGTGCCCCCCTAAAATCCAGGCAGCCTCTACTGCCAGTTCACGACAAGTGCAACAGCAACAGCACCCCCTGAGCACCTTCTTGACACTCTGCACGCCTGCCCAGTCCAGGACGTTGTCCACCATGTCGATCTGAGCCTGGGCGTTGGACTTGGTGCCCTCCTCGGCGCCATAGTAGCCGTGGTGGAGGTGCTCGCCCCACATGGACTCCCACAGGCCGGAGGACTCGTCATAGAGCTTGGCGATGCCGTCCTTGAGGGGCAGCGCCTGCGAGCGGAGACCGGCATGCCACCTCTTGATTCAGCTCATGGAAGTGCAAAAGATGCAGCAGATGCATACGTATCGTGCCTTCCAATCGCGAAGCAGCGCCACACCTTTCCGCCACTGGTTATTGGCTTCAGCACCGTTTCCAGCAGCCCTGCCGCCGGTCGCAGGGGCTTGCATCGGCCGACCCGGCGTACTGAAGGTGCAAATGGTCTCGCAGATGGAGCGTACAGCGATGCATGGCATGCGACAAGCGCTTGCTGCATGGTAGCTGGCTGGTGGTAGGAAGTGATCCCCGCAACCTGCTCGCGAGTGGTACACTCAAGATCGCGAGAAGTAAACCCTCCTTGTGAATGAAGTTCTGGTATTGTCGTCCAGAGGGAGGTTGGTCCTCTCGCCAAACAAAGTACGGTCGATCACATGCCTGGATTCGTGCTGCGCGCACCACCATGTGCGGCTTATGTTGTGTGGTACAGGTTTGTGGAGAAGAACTCGCAAAGCCCCTCTCGGGAACGCGCAGTCTCTAAAGGATATACAAATTACCCACAGATTCAGGTATGAGCCTCACAATCAGCCCGTCCCTGTGCCGTCAACGCCTGTCTGCAGGATTCGCATCACCGAGGAACCTGTCCTTCAGGGCCTACCCCTCCCGATCCAGCCCCGCCGCCCGCACTCGCCGAGACCCATTCAAAGGTAGGTCAATCGTTGTGCGAGGTCATTACAGGGATCTGGACTGGAGGCGCATGTGATTGCGCTGTGCGAAGACACCTCTTCATCATGATCCGTGATGTTCCAGCCAGTCGAAGGCCCCCAGAATCCAGGGACAGGTCCACGGACACCGTTCCATTCACCGCTGTAGGTCCCTCCATGGCCCCAGCCTCAACCTCGCCGACTCGTATGAACGCAAGCCCCACCAAGGAGGCCCCCGGCCGGTCCGCTGAGAAGACCCCCCTGGCCTCCGTGGGCAGGGTGGTGGTGCTGGGGGCTGGTGGCGGTGTGGGCTCCGCGGTGGTGACCCAGCTGGCAGAGCAGGGCGTCCCCGTCACCGCCGTCGTCCGTGACGTCAGCAGGGCCAAGGACAAGCTCCCCAGCCGGGAGGGAGTCCAGGTGTCCCTAGGAGACGTCACCGACTCTGCCAGCCTGACCAGCCTCCTGCAGGTGACATGGGGATGTTGAGTCTGCGTGTGAGAGGGTACGAAGGGGGTGGAAGAGGTACACTACAGGCCTTGGGGGTGCATACCAAGCCTTTTCATCTGTGAGAGTAGTAAGTTACTAGAACTGGAGGGCTGTCTGTCCGCGAGCCCTCCTGGCATGTACCAACGTACGGAGCTTCCATGACTCATCCGCCTGGCAGGGCGCTGGGGCGGTCATCGTGGCCACCGGCCCGAGCAGCCTGAAGAACCCCTTTGGACCCTACAACGTGGACTACAATGGGAACGTGAACGTCGCCAAGGCCGCCGCGAACGCAGGGCTGAAAAAGATCGTCATGGTCTCTTCCATTGGCGCGGAGGACTGGCTCTTCTTCCTCAACCGTGCGTGGGATGTGATGTGCTCATCGCCGGGGAGTGGACGGGGGGTGGGCGGGGGCATGGTGGGCTTCAGCGGGGCACCGTCATGGTCGCCGATCTGTTCTTACATGCCGGTATCACAATGCTTGAAGGCCTCAACAACATCATCCCATGCTCTACTGCCCACGTCATGTCGACCAGTTCTTACTTTCCACAGTGTTCTGGGGCATCCTGATCTGGAAGAGGCAGGGTGAGAAGGCCATCCAGAGCTCTGGCGTGGACTACACCATCATCCGTCCTGGTATGTCGGAGGATTCATCTCGGAACAGCTTTGCAAAAATGTGCACGGGACTGGAGCTTGCCATTCCGGTGGATAACGCGGTCCCACTCACCCTTCACACACAGGCGGCCTCACCAACGAGGGCTCCCAGCGGGCCCCCAAGGGCGGCGTTGTCGCAGGCCCTGCCAATACCTACGGCCGCGCCCCCAGGATCAAGCCCACCGGCTCAATCCTGCGCTCCCAGGTTGCTGCCCTGGCCATCGAGGCGCTGACTAACCCTGCCGCCTCCAACGTCATCCTGGAGGCCGTGACGCAGGAGGGGGAGCCAGAACGCACCGCGGCGCAGGTGCTGGAGGACCTGGCGGCCGGCAAGCTCCCCCCCCGGGGGGAGGAGTAGGGCGGCTTGATTTGAGCGGCGGACGGGATGAGCCTGAAGGATTTGTTTTACAAGTAGCGAGCTGACGTCATTGCTATTCCTCCTGCATTTCATTGGTCACCCCCCGATTCTTTGTCAATGTTTCGAGCGATCAAGGCAGTCTCCGAATGGGATCAAGTGGTATAGAGCCGGGAAGATTAAGGAATACGATTCTGCGCGCAGCTGAACAAGTCTGCGAAGACTGACCTCCGGATCATAGGGCTGAATAAATTGCACCCTTTCATCTGAATCACCTGAAACGTCCCCGTTACTGGGGGACCATCGCCAGGCATTCGCCTTGGAGGATATACCGATTGGTCGCGCGTTCGATCCGCGTAGGGGTCAGGAAACTGACGGGCTCCTTAGCTCAGTGGCAGAGCGTTCGGCTCCAGATTTCTCTTTTTGACTTTTGGGGGGTAGGACATTGCGTATCGCACAGAAGAAGTCGCTGTGACCTGTCGGAGCGGTCCTTCCGGCAAGTCCCTTGCATGTCACACTGAGAGGGCAAGCTTGCCAATGCACGAACTGCCGCGTGCAGGCCACAAATCACAGTGACATGCTTCTCACTTGGGAAAAGATCAGACATTTCTTCTTCTTGATGTGTTGGGGGCCAGAAGCATGCATCATGCTCTGTCTCCACTGCAAATTTGTATACAAGTTTGATCACAGAGCGCAAAGTGTCATACCTACTACCCGTGCGCTTGCTTCACTCTCAATACAACGCGGGAGACTCCTCTGGAATATAAGATCGGATTCGTCGAGGTATCCGGGGAAAGAGTATCTGGGCAGGTGCCTATCGCAACTGCGCAGCAGAATGCGTTTGCCGACGTGGCACATGATCCAAAAAGATAAATGTATCGTGCATGCATTTCGGCCCCCAGGGAGGAATTTGCAGCCCATCCCACGAATTGTTGGCTGATTAAAGTTAATCAGAATTCTGTATCTACCAGATCATCGAAGGTAACTGCATACCTCGGGGAAGCACCCTCGCTGCTGCCACGCCATGGCGAGCTTTGCGTACGGGTCCTTCGCGCGGGCGTTGCCCCACAGGGTGAGTTTGGATGCATTGGCGAGTATTGCTACATGCAACACCCACAGCTCTCATCTGGCTACACTGTTTCCCTCCACAGCACGGTCATAGTCGGAGGCAATGTGTGACTCCTCGGGCTGCGAGTGCCGTCGAGGCCCCGGCCTCCGTCGGACAAAAGGTGGGCCCCAGGCATCGAGCCCCCGTAGTGCAATTTCAATCTTCCTGTCTCACAGCAAAGCCGATGTGTCGCCACCAGCATGCGATGTGGAGCATGCTCCCGTGCGCCCCCTCGACCCGCCACCCTCCCCATTTCCATCCCAGGCTCATGGGGAGGACCCCCTCCTGCTGCGCGCCCTACGGGGGGAGTCGGTCTCCCGCCCCCCCGTCTGGCTCATGCGCCAGGCAGGGCGGTACATGAAGGTGTACCAGGACCTGTGCAAGCAGCACACCACGTTCCGGGAGCGGTCCGAGAACGCCGACCTGGCGGTGGAGATCAGCCTGCAGCCGTGGCGCGCTTTCCAGCCCGACGGCGTCATCCTCTTCTCCGACATCCTCACCCCCATCTCTGGCATGGGCATCCCCTTTGACATCACGGCGGGGAAGGGGCCGATCATCCCCGACCCCATCCGGACGCAGCAGGTGGGTCGACCATGGCATAACGGAGGGGAGGGGGGGTTGCTGTACCTGGTCGTCCTCTGCGATTTGGGCCGAGGTCCGGCCGCTTGCATCCCGTTTGGGATCACGAGGCAGTCATGCCTTCCATAGGTTGCCGTGCCGCTTCCCGGACCTGTCCACAGGATCTCAGCCCAGTCCAGCCCCACCCTCATCCCCGCCCCCCCATCCTTCCACAGCAAGTGGATGCGCTGCGGGAGCTGGTGCCCGAGGAGGCGGTGCCCTTCGTGGGCGAGGCGCTGCGCACGCTGCGCGCCGAGGTGGGCAGTGCCTCCGCCGTGCTGGGCTTCGTGGGCGCGCCCTTCACCCTGGCAACCTACATCGTGGAAGGTAGGGGATGCGTGGTGGCCGGCGGAGGGGGGATGGGGGGTGATGGGTTGACCCATGGGTTGCGTTGGGATGCCAAGCCTGAGCTGCACCCCACACCCTCCCCTCCCCCCCTTTTAACAGGTGGCATGTCCAAGAACTACACGCACATCAAGAAGCTGATGTTTTCCGAGCCGGCGGTGCTGCACGGCCTCTTGCAGCGCCTGGCCGACGCCGTCGTCACCTACATTGGCTACCAGGTGGGTAGGAGTGACTGATCGTTGGTGCGGCGCTATTGCTGGCTGTGTTCATCTCTCTGTTGGTGGGGACCAGGTCAGCGCTGCTTCCTGGTTCTGCCTGGCAAGGAATACGGGACACCCTCAGAGTCAGCGCACATTGGCCGGTGCTCTCCAGATGAGGAGGCCTGCAAGGAAAACAGAGCCCAAGTTCAGCCCTGCAACCTTCCACTTCACCCTCCACCACCATTCAACCCCTTTCCAGGCCGACAATGGGGCTCAGACGGTTCAGATCTTTGACTCGTGGGCTGCCAACCTGAGCCCACGCGATTTCGATGTGTTTGCTGGTCCATACCTGCACTACATCATCAAGAAGGCCAAGGAGGCAAGCTCAAGGGTTGTGGTATTATAGGGCATATGACCATGGTCTGGTGTTCTGGACGACTGTTACCTTTATTGAGAGACTTGTGTCTGGTATATGATGTGTCCTGCAGTGTCGAATACATGGCCCCGCAAACCGGAGGAGGCAGGACCCCGTGCCAGCTGTGTGGAGTGCTGCAGCCTTCTTGCATCCGCTTGCCGCATCAAACAGACTCAGTACCATTAGAGCAGTTCCCTGGGACCTTCCGCTCTAGCTTCCCTCACTCCACCTCTTGGCCTCACCCTCAGCCCCCACCCTGGTCCTCTCCCGCCAATCAACCCTTCACAGGCCCACCCGGACCTGCCCATCATCCTCTACATCTCCGGCAGCGGCGCGCTGGTGGAGCGCATGGCCGCCTGCGGCCCCGACATCCTTTCTCTCTGCCACTCGGTGGACCTGGAGGAGGGCGTGCGCCGCGCGGGCACCAACTTTGCGTACCAGGGCAACATCGACTCCGGCGTGCTGTTTGGCAGCCGCGAGGCCATCACCAGTCGCGTACGCGAGACGGCGCAGCAGGCACAGCGCGCAGGGGTCCGCCACATCCTGAACCTGGGGCATGGCATCATGCAGGTGGGTGGGGAAGTGGCGGAGTGCACCGTCATTGTCATGAGGAGTGCAGGCCAGTGTGAATGTGCTGTGTTTGCTGTCTGGCCAGCCGGAATGGGGAAGGTGCATTCAGAGTCTGGTGAATATCCTGATGTCGAGGTGATGGAATACCAATCCATAGGCACCTTGGTAAACCGACCATTGCTGTGCAGGGCACGCCAGAGGATGCTGTGGCGCACCTGTTCCATGAGGCCAAGAACCTGCAACTTTGACTTGATCGGTAGGCTGCCAGTGCGGCCCGGGGAACCAGACAGATTCCTTGCGGATAGATTGCGTCCGCGCCAGGGGCTGCCACTGCCCTCTCTAGCTTGGCAAAGGGTTAACAAGATTATGAGCACAGAGCAGGGGGCCAAAGAGGGATGACTGGTACAGGGAGGGAAAAAAACAGTATCAGTGATGAGGAGGGTTTGTGATGCAGCGCTGAGAGCCTGGAGCAAAGCGCCAGACTGTTCCTAGAGGTAAAGTCTGCCAGCATGCTCTCACTGCTTGCTGCTAGCCCCCCAGACCTTTCCAGGGCCTTTGGCAGGGCGCACACCACCCTTGCCCTTGTCTTGGGCTGTTGCCGTCGCCGGCGGCTGCAGCTGTGGGCGAGGAGAAAGCCAAGGGGATAGGTGAATGTTGGTGGTTGAACAAAGATGCAGGCGATCTTGCTCCCCATGAAGCCCGTCCCAACGGAAATCAGGTTCACATCCAAGTCACTAAAGACTCCAGCTTGCCCTTCCCACACAATGCCAGTAGTTTCTACCCACCAAAGCCAGATGGCCCCCGCCCTTGGCAGCCATGGCCGCGAAATGGCTCTCATTCTCGGCGTTGATGGCTTTGGTGAGCTTCTGGTTATCGCCGTGACTCCGCTTGGTCGCGGCGCGTTTGGGAGCGACTGTCAGTTTGCCTGTGAGGAGGGGCCAGGTACGGTGAACGCTGTGTGCGCGTGCCATTCGTCAGGCGAAGATGGGTATACCACAACCCCATCGGAGTCCCAGGCGCAACGCCCTCAGATTCACCTCGCTTCGTCGTCATCTGGGACTTTCCATGCTTATTGGCAGCAGAAGACTGCTTCGCCTGCACGGCCTTGCCCTGTTTCTTAAGTGGCTTCTGCGCCATTGAAACGCCGACGTGAGCACGGAGGACAGGGTTTCCGGATGTTTCGGATGAGCAAGTATATACGAACGGACCGAGTACCAAGGTGTATCACACGTCCGTCCCGAAGTTTTCACACATATCATGCATGCACCCTTCAGTGGGCGCGGAGTACCGCAATCGATATGGCTTTTGGCTCCCTTTCCACCCAACCCAGAAACTGGGCGGAGATCGGCTGTCTCGTGTGCCGATGGTGTTCTGTATCATCCAGCAAACTCGGTAAGAATTCATGACGACGACTTGGGTGGCTCATCTGTTCTGTCTACGGGATTTGCTGTGCTCCCTGAGCCGGCAAGTGCCCTTTGCTGCCCGCGTTCGTTGGGGACGAGGGCAATTCCCTGCGGCCTCACCCCTTCACCACCAAGCGAGTGGCGGCAGCCATCAGAGGAGCATAGATATCGAGACTTCTCGAACAAGATATTTTCTAGCTTGATGGAGCTCATTGTGGCGGGCACCTGGCACTGCTCCTGATACATCCCGGCCCGCGATGAGCGACACAGGTGGGTCCAAACCCCACGCCCACGCCTGGTCCTTTCCAGACCTGTTACTCGCACGGTTAGACTTGTTCGCTTGTGGAACGCGCCCCTAATGCGACCTCGACATCCCACCGAGCCCTGCACCCCCCCGCCCCTCCCCCCTCACCCTGGCCAGGCTCCACTCCCCCCCCCTCCCTTTCATCCCCGACACCGCTCCCCTCCCCTCACGGTCGCACCCCCCCGCCCCTCCAGGCGCGTCTGATGCCGGCGCACCCCTGGCCCCCGGCCTCTCCGGGGGCAACCAGTCCATCGGGCAGCGCTCGGCCACCGAGAGCGAGGCGCTAGTGCTGGCCCGCGCGGCGGGCCTGGTCAGCGAGTGCCGCGCCGAGCTGCGCGAGCTGCGCGCCCGCGCCAAGGCCGCGCGCTCCAACCGCGAGCGCTGCATGGCCGCGCTGGCTGCCGGCAGCGAAGCGGTGGGCGCGCTGGAGGAGGTCTGCTCCGACGCGGGCGCGCTGGACGCGCGCGGCGAGCGCGCGCTCTGCGCGCTGGCCGGCCGCGTGCAGGGCCTGATGGACCAGGCCGAGGCGCTGGTGGACGTGTACGGGCGCCAGGGCGGCCTGGGCAAGTTTGCCTCCCGCATGTTCAACCCGGGGGTGGGCGCCAAGTTCGAGGCCATCACCGCCGAGCTGCAGGCCCACGCTAAGCAGGTGCGCCTGCTGGCAGAGGGCGACGCCTACTCCCGTGGCCGCGGCAGCAGCGGCACCGCCTCCGGCAGCCTGTCAGCGCGCGGCGCGGCGCGTGGCGGGCCGCAGGCCAGCCGCGCAGGGTCGGAGGCCTCGGCCATGGGCATCTCCCGCCTGGGCCGCGCCTCTGGCTCCCTGCCCTCCCAGCACAGCGTGGTGGGTGTTGGCACGGCCGGCGCCGCGGCGGTAGCCGCGGCGAGCGCGGCCGCCGCGCCGGCGCCCAGGGCGCCGGTGCTGCAGGTGCGGCCCTTCCCGGGCGCGCCGCCACCGCCGCCGCCTGCGGGCGCTGCGATGGGAGAGCGGCCGGTGTCCTCTGGCCCCAGCTTCTCGCGGCGCGGCAGTGTGCCGCGCCGCGCCATGGACGTGCCGGACGACGAGGAGGGCGAGGAGGAGGGGGGAGGAGGAGGAGGAGGAGCCTGAGGCGGAGGCGGGGCGGGCCAGCGGCGCCTGGCCGCCGGTCCCCCGGCACGGTCGCAGCGCCTCGACCGGCTCCCAGCTGGGCGCGGCGCGCGAAGCGGCGCGCGACTCGGCGCCCTCCACGCCGCCCGATGGCGCGCTGGCGGCGGCGGACAGCGGCCTGTCCCGCAGCACGTGGGCGGACCGCGAGCCCCCCACCCGCACCTCCACCGTCCCCTCCTCGCCCGGCCTGGGCGGCAGCATGGCGGCGCCGGCCGTCGGCGCCGCGACCGCCATCCCGGTCCCCGAGCGCCTGCACCGCGGCAAGGCGGGGCAGAGCGTGACGGCGCTGCTCCTGATCCCGCCCGGCGAGGACGAGCCGCGCGGGTCGCTGGGGCACGCCTGGTACTACGTCACGCGCACTCTGGGCGGGGGCACGCTGCACGTGGTGCACCTCTCCTCCCAGGTGCACAGCGAGGTGCGGGCGGAGGGCGTGGTGACCGCGCTGCACCTGGATGCGGCGGGCCTGGTCTGGGCGGGGCACCGCAACGGCACGGTGCGCGCCTGGGAGCACAGCTCGCGCGCGCCCGTCTGCGACCCCCTCCGCGCCTTCCACTCCTCGGTCACGGCGCTGACCTGCGACGAGCGCGGCGCGTGCTGGGCCGCCTCCAGCCGCGGCAACGTGCGCTGCCTGCGCCTGGGCGAGGTCCTGCGCGGCGGCGCGCCCGTCGGCTGCCGCCTGAGCCTGGTGGGGTCGCTGCGCTGGTCCGGCTCCGCCGCGCCCGCCGACGCCGCGGCGCTGGAGGGCGTGCCCGAGGACGGCATGGTGAACAGCGAGCTGCTGCGCGAGCAGGCCCACTACGGCCCCGTGTCGGCGCTGGCCGCGGCGGTGGGCCGCGTGTGGACGGCGGGCGGCTCCTCCGCCTTCGTCTGCCTGCGCGAGTGGAGCCAGCGCGGCGAGCTGCTGGCCTCCAACGACCTGCGCTCCATGGGCACCGTGAACGCCATGGCCATCACCAGCCCCCTGGTGCGCGTACTCCTGCCGGCGGAGCGCGGGGCCCACCCCGCCGCCACCGCCTCGGTCATCTCGCTGGCGCCGCGGTCCGGCGGCACCGGCCCGGGCGGCGCCGCGCTGGCCACCGAGCTGCAGCAGGTCTGGCAGCTGCTCACCGTGCACGACTCGGGCATGGTCCAGGTCTGGACCATGGTGGCGGGCCTGCTGCGCCCCATCCTGCGCATCGGCGAGCGCACCTCCCCCGCCAAGGGGCTGGCGGTGTGCGAGAGCCTGGGCGCCGTGTGCACCAGCCACCTGGATGGGCGGCTGCTGGTGCGGCCGCTGCCGCACCCCAAGAGCCCCGGCGGGCTGACCATCAACTACGTGGCGGGGAGCGTGGGCCAGGCACGCATGCCCTACGGCGAGATCCAGGCCAGCAAGACGGGGCTGGCCCACGTGCAGGGCGCGGGCGCGGGCGTGGTCACCTCCTCCATGAACGGCACCATCTCGCTGTGGGGCGACGCCGCGCTGCGCGCCGCCGCCTCGCAGCGCGGCCTGGCGCTGATGGGGGAGCTGTCGCCGCGCGAGGCCTGGCCCCTCTTCTGCTACAACTCCGCCGTGCTGGCCTACGCCATGGCCGAGGCCAGCGCCGGCCTGGGCCTGGCCGCCGGCCCGGGGGACGCCAGCGACGACGACCTGCTGCGCGGCGCGGGGTCGGGGGCCTCCCAGAGGGCAGCCGCCAACCCGGCGACGGCCTCGGCCGCCGCGCGCGCGGCCTCCAGCCCGGCCGCGGGCCTGTTCGAGGGCGGGGACGCCACGCCCTGGCTGCTGGACTTCCGGGACCTGGTGCTGAGCCGGGTGATCGGGGAGGGCGCCTTTGGCAAGGTGTACCTGGGGCGGTGGCAGGAGACGGACGTGGCCATCAAGGTGCTGACCAGCCTGCAGGCTTTTGGCATCGGCGCGGCGGGGGCCACCGTGGCCGGGCCCGACGGCGAGGTGCGGCTGGACCCGGAGGTCCTGCGCACCCTGGAGCGGGAGGTGGGCATCATGGTGGCCATCCGCCACCCCAACATCATCCTCTTCATGGGCGTGTGCCTGGACCCGGCGTGCATCGTCACCGAGTTCTGCGCGCGCGGGTCGCTGTACGACCTGCTGAAGGTCGCGGCGGCCAACCCCGACGCCTCGGCGCGCGTGCTGGACTGGGGCAAGCGCCTGAACATGGCCCTGGACGCGGCAAAGGGCATGCTGCACCTCCACTCCCACCGCGGGCCCATCATCCACCGCGACCTCAAGTCGCCCAACCTGCTGGTGGACAAGCACTGGCGCGTCAAGGTCACCGACTTCAATCTCTCCCGCCTGTCGGACACCGTCTCCGTGGCCTCCTCCATGGTCGCCAACAACCCGCGCTGGCACGCGCCAGAGGTGAGCTCTTCGTGTGTTCCAGTCTGGTGGTTGCCCCTGCCCCGCCCCGGCTGGTCACCCGTCGCTGGGAGCCACACATCCGCTGCCTGTCTCCGCACATCCCTCGCCTCCCCTCACCCCCCCTCCCTCCCCCAACACCTCCCCCCCACCCCTTCCCAGGTCATCCACTCCCAGTCGTACAGCAAGGCCAGCGACGTGTACGCCTACGGGCTCATCCTGTGGGAGTTACTGACTTGGCAGCTGCCCTTTGCGGCGCAGACCCCCTTCCAAATCATCCTCATGGTGGCGGAGCGCGGCGAGCGCCCCCCCATCCCCGACTCCCCCGCCGAGTACCAGGGTGGCGACTTCGAGGGGTCGGCCGACTACCTGGCGCTGATGCAGGAGTGCTGGGCGCAGCAGCCCAAGGAGCGGCCCACCTTCGAGCACATCATCACCCGCCTGCGCGGCATCCTGGAGCACGCCCCGGGCAAGGCCGCGCCCGGCGCCGGCGCCTCGGGCCGCGGGCTGCTGGGCGGCGTGGGCGCCGCCACGCCCACGCCAGCGGGGTCCAGCCCGGGCGACGGCCCCTCCCCGGTCAGCACGCGCGGTGCCTCACCCGTGCAGAGCGCAGAGGGCGTCGGCCCCGGGCCGGCCCCGGGCGACGGCACGGGGCGGCCCAAGGTGGGCGGGCGGCCCAGCCTCGCACGCGCCAGCCAGACCGTGCTGGCCAACGTGATGGGCGCCTCGGACCGCAGCGCGGAGGCGCGGGCGGCCGCCGTGGCCGCCGCGGCTGAGGCGGCGCTGGTAAGCCCCGGGGACGAGGGTCATGCGGCCCCGGGCGGCGCCGGAGAGGCGCGCCCGGGGGGCCGCAACGCGCGCGGGCCGGGTTCTGGCGCGCCGCCCAGTCCGTTTGACGCGCCCATGACGGCCGTGACCAAGCCGGGGGGGGTGGCGCGGACCGGCGCGCCGCCCAGCCCCTTCGACACGCCTTCGGGAACGCAGCCGAGGACTGGCGCGCCGCCCAGCCCCTTCGAGGCGCCTTCGGGAACGCAGCGGAGGACTGGCGCGCCTCCGAGCCCCTTGGACGCGCCTTCGGGAACGCAGCGGAGGACTGGCGCGCCACCAAGCCCCTTTGACGCGCCTTCGGGAACGCAGCCGAGGACTGGCGCGCCGCCCAGCCCCTTTGACGCACCTTCCAATGTGCAGCAGCAGCAGCGGACTGCGGCGCCGCCGAGCCCCTTTGACGCGCCGTCGGCGGCGGCATCGGCGGCGAGCATTCCAGCGAAGGCCGCGGGGCCCCCCAGCCCCTTTGGCGCCTCTCCGCCCGCCACCGCCGGCGGCGCGACAGCCCCCCGCGCCTCCACGCGCGGCGCCCCGCCCAGCCCCTTTGACGCGCCCTCCACGCTGGGCACCAACGGGGGCAGCCTGCACCGGCCCAGCCCCTTTGATGTGGGCGTTCCCAACCCCTCCAGTTCCTTCAAGGTGCTCCGGCCGTACGACCTTGCGGGCTCGTCCGGCCGCGTCCCCGGCGTGACCTCGGCCTCGCCCGCCTCCAACGCTGGCATGATCGCCCAGACCTTCAGCCTGCGGTCCAGTCAGCTCTCCTCCGAGTCATCGGCCACGGCGCCCAACCTCAGCCAGGTGGCCTCCGGGCCACACACTGCCAGCGACGACTCCGCCGAGGTGAGGAGGGGAGTGGGGAAGAGCTGGGGCGCATCTGGGGCGGGACAGGTGTTGAGGCACGCGCGCACGGTGGTGTCACCCACCCCCCCCGCCCCACCCCTGCTTCGATCGCAGCCGCGAACGGTTGCCTAGGAGGCGGCGACTGCAGCGCTGCTGAGTGGACAGTCATGTGGGATTCCCCTTCCAGGCCAGGATGCCTCTTTGCGGCGCTCAGGCCTATACACACTCTCACCCACGCACCGCCCTGCCATCACTGTGGCCGAGTCCCTCCCCCTCCATCGGGACGCGGCCAGCATGAAACATTACTGTTGTGGCGAGAGCAGAGGGGCCACTCCTCTCCTGCCCGCTCTTCGAGTTCCCAAACCTTCCCTTGTGTGCAATTGCGTGGCAGTGTTCAAATTTCTCTTGAGGGCAATGAGTGGCTTGTCATCCCGCTGACTCTGTACTCCTTTACGACACGCTGCCTGCTCGAGCGGGGCCATGGGTTGCAGGCAGGGAGGATGCATGCAACACTCATTCCTGTCGTCGACAGACCAGGGTGTCGAGCCGACAATCAGGAAACTAAGAAGCGCAGCACCAAAGATCGTACCTCATTGCGCGGCTGCTTCCTGCGCCGCTCTTCGTCGCTGCATGGCCGCCGCAAAGTCGGCCTGCAGGTCCGGCTTCTGCAGGCCCGTGCGCTCCTCCGGCGCGGGCAGGCCAACGCCCGCTGGACGTAGCTTGACGGCAAAGGGGGAGGGCGTGCCGGCCTCCCCCCCGGGCTGGCCCCCCAGCCGCGTTTTGAGCAGGGGGGTGGGGGCTGAGTCGCCCCCCGCCGCCCTCGCCCTCGCCACCTCCACCGCCGCGGGGCTGGCCGTGGCGGCGAGGCTGGAGGCGTTCCTGGGGGTCATGCGGGGCAGCACCAGCCCGGCTCCCAGGGCGGGGATGCCTCCCATGGCCGTCACCCGGCTCTCCAAAGAGCGCAGGCTCACCCCGAAGGGTGTCGTGTCCTTGCTGTCCTCAGGCTGTGTGCGGGAGGGGGTTGAGGGGCCTTATTTGAGAAGCCTGGAGCAGTGGTCGCTGAATGTCCCGTGCAGCGTGCTCGGGAACGGGGAATGGCATCAGAATCTGGAGGTAACGAGACGTCCTGGGGAGCCACGTCAACAAGTGAACCCTGCAGTTCTATTGCCAAGGATATGCTCACCTGGGAGCCCGACACGCCAGGCTCCTGCTCACAACCCAGCAGTGCGTCCCACTCCCGCATCTGCTCGCGGTGGCTGGCGATGAAGCCCTCCCTCTGGACAGCCAGGAAGGAGGCCAGGTCCGAGCGCGGAACCTCGGAGAGGTGCGAGAGGCTGGTGTCTACCTGCCTCTGCAGGGACTCTAGTGACATCATCAACCGACGAAGACTTTCTTTCGCCTGCGCTCTGGTCACGCCGGGGCCGGGGGGTGAGCCCGAGCCGTCGGTAGAGGCCATACCTGGCAGTAGGCTACACGACAGCCTCGGGCTGGTGAGCTGGGCGATGTAGGAGTGCAGTATCCGATTATTACATCAGACGACCTGACATTGCATGTTGCCCATCGGAACAGCCGTGCGGGAGAGTGTGTTCATCATCCCGTCGTGCTGTTTATTCCGTCCGTAAGCTCTCGTCAAACATCCCCCGGTGGAAAGGCGGGATCCCTGGTTTTGTCACTGCGGGTCAGAGCCAAGGCGTTCGCGGCCTTGTTCCAGCGTGCTTCCTCCTTTACAGCTCGTGGGTTTTTGGCATCTTCCATCTGTATCGAATCGATCCCAGGAGTGCTCAAGAGGCACTGCTAACTCTATTGGGAGCACCATGGATTCATATGGCTCTCAAGGCGCGTCCAGCAGCGCTGGCCTGAATGAGGGGCACGTCATGGAATCGGTAGGTTGGCGTGCACTTCTGTACTGTTGAGATGCAGCTGCCGTCGTGCTCATCCGCGCTGCGGTTGCCTGGGCGAGGGGGTGACGCCCGCCGACAACCCTGCTGCAGATCAAGCAGGAGATGGCAGTGGCCTTCCTCAACGAGTTTTACCAGGTGTGTTTCGAGAATGGATCGTATGTGGAAGGGTTGTGTGTCTTGCCCGTCGTATGCTGATAGGAACAGGGTGTTTCAACGCCTAGAATGCGCATCCATGGGGATGCTGGTTGGCGGTCTCAGGTTGCAGGGTCCTCGACCTGCGCACCAACGCCTGCCCCGTCTCACATGCCGACACGCTCCATTGACTTCTGCTCCAGCCCAAGTATCTTCTCCCTCACCCTGCTTTTTCCACAGACTGTGCGAGACAAGTGCTTTGGCACCTGCGTGACCAAGCCGTCCAGCAGCTTGAGCAGCAGCGAGCAGCAGTGCTTGGCACGGTGTTGTGACCGATACGCTGAGGTGGGGAGCACCGGCTGGCTGTTCTGTCGAGGCGTTCAGCGCTCAGGTCTGATTGCATGTGAAGGTGGCCTGGTATCCATGTCGACATGAGCAGTAACTTCTCTGTCCTCACAACCTATCTTCACGCAGGCCACCCAGGTCGTCACCAAGGCTACCCTGGAGATGAATGGCTACCAGTGATCCTTTGCTGTTTTTGGTGAAAGAATGTGTAGCAAGGTGAAAAATGATTTGGAAAAGCATTTAGGAAGGGGCAGCCGGGGGTGAGAATGGCCGCAAAGGGCTGTAGGTTGATGCTGTGGGAATTCGCAGCCAGGCCAGGGAATGCACTGGAGTAGGATACGAGTGGTGCTCCTCTGCGGCGCAAGCTCCGTGGGGAGGGGCTTCCAGGCGAGTGCTCAGACGCCCCCAGTCTGTAAGCCCTTCACACTTACGCCGCATGGCTCCTGGATCCCAGCTGGGGGTACTATCCTGCCTTGGGCTTTTTTATGTACCCCCCCAGCGGCCTCTTGGCAGGCCTCCCGACAGCCCGCGGGTAGCCGGTCGGCGTGGGCCCCAGCTTGCGCACCGTCAGCGCGGTACGCCGGCCCTGCTGCCCCGCGCAGGCCACGTCCTCCACCCCGATCAGCTGGGCGCCGAGGAGCTCCAGGGCGGGCCCCGCGGCCGCGACCTCCCCCTCCGGCGCGGGCCCCTTGGCGGCCACCCACACCCCGCCCGGCGCCAGGAAGGGGAGGCACAGCTCCGCGAGCACGCGCATCTCCGCCACTGCGCGCGCCGTGACCACCTGGAAAGCGTCGCGCAGGGCTGGGTCGCGCCCTGCCGCCTCGGCGTTGGCGCACACGACGCGCACGCCGGCCGCGCGCCGCGGCCTCGGCCGCGGCGCCCAGGAACCTGGTGCGTTTGGCCAGCGAGTCCAGCAGGGTCACGCGCCAGGTGGGCCGCGCGATGGCCAGGACCAGGCCCGGGAAGCCGGCCCCGGAGCCCACGTCCATGAGAGTCAGCGGGCCGGAGCTGGGGGGGGAGAGAGGGGCATGCGCCTCGATGATGGGCAGCAGGGCCAGGCTATCCACAACGTGGCGCTGCAGCGCCTCCTCGCGCGTGCACGGGCCTGGAAATGTTTGTTTGTGGGGGAAGATTTGGGGGACGGAGAGGGGTGGGGGGGTGAGGAACAATGCCCCAGCCCTATGGATTGCAAAGGCTGAGACCTGGCTTGCTTGTGCAGCCATAGTACAGGGGACGCTGACCATTTGCCTTCTTTTCACCCCCCATGAAGCCACACCGACCTGTGAGGTTCATGTTCTGGTTCCATTCCAGGAGGATGTCCAGGTATGCATCGAGCTGCGCCCTCTGACCGCTGTCGAGCTGCTGGAGCAGGGGGTTCATGGGGGCCGGTTCCGCGACCGACACGTCGACCGAGAAGGGTCGTTTTGGTCCACGCCATATTTGCTGCGCTGGCACGAAGCCTCGGCGAATGCGCATGATTGGCCTGGCCGCGAGCACCATGCACCCGGCCGTGGCCGGGTGAGTGCTAACGCTCAGACCGGCAATCTCGCCCAGTGACGTCTGATGTGTATGTTCCAGTCACAGCTTCCGTTGAAATATATTACATGGACGGTCAGGGTGGCAATGCATCATATATGAGGTGCGCAATTGACTCCCGCGCGCCCTGGCGAGTTTACACCCCGGATGACATCCCGAGCAGGAGGAAGTCAGAGACCAGTTCCGTGAGGGAACATGTAATCTGGGATCCCGCTGCGGACCCACCCTGCATCCTGTGGTGGCCATATCTGCGGAATGTACTCGAGGCCAAGGTCAGGAGCTGGGTGTTGAGATACTACTGGAGCAGACGCCGGCAGCAATGACTGAAACCTTTGCTTGACCACCAGATCGCCGGATGCAAGAACCGACCAGGCCCACAGCCTCAAGGACACCCTCCCAGTCTGGGTCAGCATGTACCTCCACCCCCCAGCTTGCCTTCAGGAAAACCCTGCCCTGTAGCAGGGCATATGGCACAGGGCCATACGTGCGCGAGTCTGTGCTGTTGTGGAAGTTGTCACCCTGGAGCCAGACATGGCCCTTGGGCACCACCGCCACCCTGCGCCCCGTGGTCGACCCCGGCAGGGGGACTACATCGCCCTCCAGGCCCAGCACTCGCTTGATGACGATGTGCCGCACATTTTGCACGCTGCGCGCCACCACCACGTCCCCCACCTTGATGCTGCGTGTGGCCACCGAGACGCGCTCCAGCAGAGCCACGTCGCCATGGGTGTTGAAGGTGGGGCTCATGCTGAGTCCGATGGGCTGCAGGGAGGCAGGGGCCCCAGCGAGTGGGGGTTCCATTGGTGCAAGGGAGGGGTGGCATGGGCCAAGGGCGCACCCGTCACTGTCTGATGTCCCCGATGCCGTGCGCCCCAACCATCAACCCACGCAGTACTGCTCCTTATGCTACGCCTACCTACCACTGTGAACTCCGCGACGTAGTTGCGGAAGACGTGGATGGCAGCCGCGGCCTTGGCGAACCAGATGGCACGCTCAAGGAGGGAGCGTAGGGAGCGGGTGGACCGTCCGTGGGCCCATCCCGCCCCAGCCGACATGCATGCACTGTCAAAGTAGTCACGTTACTGCATGAGCCGGGGAATGTGGTACCTCGAACAAGCAGGTGCGGTGCTCTGTATTGAAGAGGCCCGGGGTATCGATCTACAGATCGCAGCCGTCCTTTCAGGATGATTCCAGCCTCTGCTGATAATGCAAATTTTTGTTTAACGTTTCAGTGAGTGATGTCAAGAGATAGAGCTGGGTCACGAAAGTCACTCGTCACAACATCAGCGAGCGCGCAGGGTTGTGCTGCTGGCGGACGGCCTGGAGCGGGTCACGGGCGGCTCTGCATCTCCCCAGGCTACACATTGGGGGCACTGTGTCTCAATACACTGCAGCCCTCACCTCTGGCACACCCATATCCTGGCTGAGGCAGGATGGGTGGATCGCCGTGCCCTCCTGGTCGCAGACGCCGCCCAGCCTGAGGAGGGCCGGCAGGGCGTCGGGCGCAAACTTGCGCGCGAACAGCATGCACCGATCCGGCATGGGCTGGTACCCCGGCGGACTGGGGTCGCCGTCGGAGTGGTGCAGCTCCCGCGGGAGCCCCAGCCCCGCCCACGAGCCCCTGGCGCGGTGCTGCGCCGCCGCCGAGGCGAGGGCGGCCGCGACGGGGCACTCCCTCGTCTCCCACACGCCCCGCCTCATCACCCGGAGCAGCTCGGGGCCGACGTCCCTGGCGCGGTAGACCTTGGGGCTCCAGCCGCCCCCCGCCCAGTGAGTGAAGGTCAGCGACCCCTCGCAGCTCGTCTGCGGGAGGTGTGAGGGGCGCGCGTGGGCCTCCGAGGTGGCGGGAACCCTGCAATGTCGGCGGGCCTGCACCAGCCACCCAGATCCGCGGCGGTTCCGGCCCCTCAGCCCGAGAACACCCTGCCACCCGGCACGCGGCGCTGACCTCGTTCTGCAGGCCGGCGACGGCCAGCAGGGTTGGGAAGTAGTGCTCGTCGGAGACGCAGGAGCGCCGGGCCGATGCGCTGCGCCCCACGGCGCGCATGTAGGGGGGCAGGGGGAGCCCCCCCCCGGGCTCGTAGCTGTAGCACTCCTGCTCAAACAGCCGCCACAGGGAGTCGTCCCGCCTCACGACCTGCGCCGGGTGCGACTCGGTGCAAGGGGAATTGAGGATGTTGCTGATGCCTTGATGATGTCCCGTGATCATCAGGGGCACCTATGTAATCCCCACTGCCCCAGGCATGGCCTACTGGCTGGGCGCATGCCACCACAAGGCCCTCCATATCCAGCAGAGCGTCCACACGACCCCCCCCCCGCCCCTGCGTTGCACGGGTTCACCTCGGCATGCGACTTGGTGAGGCTCAACCACTGGGAGGACTTCCGCCAATGGACCTTGGTCAGCAGACCCTCTCGGTGGAGGTATGGACCCCATCTGAGGCCGGTGTGGGGAGGGATCGGGGGACGAGTGTGGGGCATGTGGAATCAGGGCGCCCAGAGAGCGTGTGGTGCGCACATGAGCCCGCGCTCTTGAGTCCTGGGAGCCATGCAGGGCACCCCGTCCCAATCCCCGTCAACCATCAGTCTCGTTCGCGTTGAAAAGAGTACCGTCTCATGACCCTCTGTCTCACGGAAAAGCCTCTGCCTCAGCAAGCCCCCACCGCCAAGCTTGCCTTTCTGCTGCTTTCCCGTGCTGAGGGCACAGCGACACCCGGCTCAGCCGGTCAGCCAGCAGCTGCGCATGCACCACTGCGGGGGGAAAGAGCGGCGCGCAGGACTCGGACAGGAATGCAAAGCGCTGGTTCCTCGGGTCGCGCAGGGCAGCGATGATGAGCCGCCGCATGGCCTCGGCCTGGAGGGGGGAGCGGGTGGACGTGGGGCCTGGGTGCATGCTGCGCAATGCCCCAGCCCCGAGCGTCCATTGGCAGTAGACAATCTTCCCTGCATTAAATAGTCAAACCCCACTGAAGCTCATGTGATGCGTGCCATGGTGTACGCAAACCCGCGCCAGAGGTCCCGAACTCCCCGCCCTCCCGCCCTACGCAGACACATCATCCAACCCGATCCTTCTCCCCACGCCAACGCACCGCAGAGTATTGGCCCCAGCGAACAAACACTCGTCTGTCGATCTGCGTCCCAGCAAAAACAGAGTCTGCGGAGGGACGGGTAGGAGACCTGTGAGCATGGCAGGACAAACATCCGCCACTCCCTCCCAGCTGGATGTAATGTCACTCGGATCTTGGCTCCTCACTTCCCCTGCCACACAGAGCCTGTGCACGCATGCGTCGTCAGGCTCCAATCCGGCCCCACCCTGTACCTGGGGGGAAGGCAAAGGCGGCGCGGGTGTGGGTGTGGACGGAGAACAGGTCCTGGCGTGCGACGGGGCCCTGCGGATCCAGGAGGCTCAGCGCAGAGAATGGGGCCTCCAGGCTGCCAGAGGCCAGCTCGTTGTGCGTGTCGTGGGCTTCCGCTGCCTTGTCGCTGGAAAGCATGGCCTGTGTGTCTGGGAGACGGAGGAGGCCGGTGCTCTCGTCCAGGAGGGCTCGCAAGTCCTGCGGGAGGGCAGCCTCGCGGGCCGTCCTCTGCCCAGCAGAGCGGCCGCCGGGGTGGGGGGAGGCCCGTGGGATGCGATCGATCGAGGAAGCTGCGCTGTCCTTGCCTCTGGCGTGGCGTTGCCCCCCGCCATCCTCCCAGGTCTTCCTGCCTGGGCTGGACCCGGGCGGCTGCCGCAGCAGCGCGGCATGCTCAAAGAACTCCTTCCAGACCGGCTCCATAGGCAGACTGCCCCGTGAAAGGAAGAGCAGGGCCACCTTGTGCGGGGGTTGCTGGATGTGATCCCCCCCCGGTCCGTGCCTGGGCACCAGCGTGAAGGCAGCGCCCAGGGAGGCCCAGGCGATGTAGCTGACGAGCAGTGCTGCGGAGGTAAAGTACGCCACCGTGGTGGGGCGCAGCCTCTTGCCCAGTGCCAGGCCTCGGCGGCGCCAAGCTCTCGCAGGCTCGGCAGAATGCGGGCGAAGGCACGGCCCGACACCACCCTGTGGAGGGGTGCGGGCTTGACGGGTCTATACGGCCCCCTGCATGCCCCTGGTCCATGTCACAATGCACCGACTCACATCGACGGGTTTGAGCCGGGCAAGCATGGATCACGCAGGCGCTCGTTCCATCCTGAATGTCCAGGCGTCCTTCAAACCGATACAGGGAGTTTCAGCCGGGCTGGGCAGTCGGGGCGACACATTCGTCGTTAGTGACCAAGCGTGTATGCTATTGACATCATACTGCATGCACCATGGTCTGAAGGACGAACAGCTGTGATAGCAGATTCCATCGCTGTTCCATCTCAGCTCCGAATTATTTCGGGAACGACATCCGGATCTCAATCTCGCAGCGCTTTGGCAATCTCCCAAGCTCGATCCGCGCATTGGAATGCACTCACTACACCAAGTATACAAACACAGATCGATATGATGGAAGAATATAGTCGTACGCATTTTTTACTCAAGATACTCAAGCAGCAAGAGAGCCACCTCGCACACTGATGAGAGACAGAACAAGCCCATTCGACATTATCGCGACATCCCCCAATGTGGTTGCCTTTTACCTCAGCGGAACGTAAAGGGAGGACTTATGCTCGATCGATGCAGCGCATGCCTTTGGTGACGCGATCCGGCGCCACCTCCTCCTCCGGGGCCACCGGGGATCGAGGTGCCTCGGGTTGGTGGCTCAACGACAAGATCCGGGCGCACTCCCCCCCCCCCCCAAGCTATTGTCCAGATCCTGCAGGAATTACATTGCATAATGCTTTCCTGAGGACGATCAGAGATGGGACGAGCTGGCACAGCGGGCAGGAGCCCTCGCGGGGTTGTAGATTTTTCCAAGGCCAAGGACCAGGTAGGTAGGTCTGAGGGGGCTCGCCGCATGACATTGTGCCTTCGAATATTCGCTAAGAAGTGCCCGTACACCTCGTTACACCCAACAGGATCGGTTCGAGGTGCCCAAAGGATGCATGACGGTGTCGAAGTCAGGTGGGTCCCTCGGCATCCGGGATCTGGCCAAGGGTCCCCGGCCTGGAGGGCCTGACCAATGTCGAGCACACGGGCGACTCCCCACGATCCGGACGGTATCGAACTGAATCATTCCAATTGTTGGTCACAGGAACTCTGCTGCACGGGCTGCCAGCCAAACCGTGCCTCCGGCTGGACAGGTGGGCAGGGCCTGCGGTGGTTGTGCGGTGGTTGGGCGAATCTGCCTGTGTGTCTCATTCGCATCGCCCCTTCCCTGCCCGGTGCCGGGCCCCGCTCTCACCTCCAAGCACTGCGTGGTCACCTTTGCCGCTCTCGTCCCCTGCCTTCCTCCAGTGCACACTCGATGCTGGAATCATCCTGGACGATAGGCTCGGGTGCGCCCTCCGGCCCGGTCCCCGATCCGTCCCGGGTCCAGCACCGCGCCGCCCGCCAGCTCCAGTATGCGGCCGCCATTGCCTCGAGGGAGGTCAAGGAGGGTCTCTCTGCACGAGCGGTGAGCGCGCCTGCCCAGCTGCCTGCAGTGTGGGGCCACTGGGGCGTCACCTGCCCGGACTGGGCGTCAGGTTCGCCATGTCAGCACATGCTGGCACTTGTCGGGGGCTGGAACTGGCCAACACTCACCCCCCCGACCTGGTCTCCATGCCTTCCAGGAGCGGGGCAAGGCGCGATGCCAAAACACCCAGTTCCGGAAACACCTTGCTTCCAGCGTGGGAGAGCATCTGCGGTGGGGCGGGTCTGTCGCCGGGTCCGTCGAGGTCACTCCCAGACCTGCGGCAGCATCGAAGCCGGTGGGTGCGACGCGTGTGGCCCTGGGTTGATGGGTTGGGCCGAGACAGGGCTCTGTGTCTGTTCCAGCCATCTGAGGGTAGATGGGCACAGGGGTTGGTGGCCTGACTGCTGGAGTTGCGGCCCAGGCCCAAGAGGCCTCCGGCATCTGATTTGCAACCCGCAGGCAGCCGTGGGCCCCTGGATCCCAGCTCAACATCCCCTTTCCCTCCCCCGCATGCAGCTGCATCAGCCGCCAGGTCAGCAGCTGACGTCCTGGGACATGTCTCGCCAGGCCTGCTGCCCGACCCGCACGCCGCGATTTGCCGCCCGCGCAGCGGCAGAGCAGCAACGGGCCGCCGCCCCCGACAGGTGAGCCGTAATCGACCCCTGCGGGGGCAGAGGGCATGTCTGCAGGAGAGCAGGGTGGGATGTGCGTCGCCGACGATCAGCCGAGGAGTCGACCTGATCCGTCTGGGAGAGCGCTCCGCGCCTCTGGGCTGCCTGGATGCCCTCGCTACTGTCGGCTGTACCCCCAGCAGCTTCCCCAGCTTCTTCCCACCCTCCCTCCCTGTGCAGGGATGCAATCCGCAACAGGAGACTGACTGAGCTTCACTCGGCCCGAAGTGCTGCCTCGGCCGTGAGGCTTGTCCGGGAGGAATGCCTGGCAAACGCATGGCCGCATGGTCTGCCAGTGAGTCGGGAGTCAAACATCGGGAGAAGAGTTGGGAGTAGGTGTTCGGGAGTATCGGCTCTGCACCAACCCTCAAGCGCTTGAGCTCTGAGTACGGGAAGGGAAAGCCCGGTCAGTGGCACTCGTCCTCATGCCCACCAGCTACAATCCTTGTCACGGCCCATCACCAGGGGTTCTGCTGGGCACAGACGCTGCACGACATGTGGTGCTTGTCTGACCAGTCCTGGCCCAAAAATTCGGGACGGTTGCCTCCCTGCACGACCCCAACTCCCACACCCTGGTCCCTCCACGCCACAGAAGGGGGACCTGAGCCGCGCTCGCTCCGAGGGCCTGCGGGTGGTGGGGCTGGGCTGCGGCCAGCCCTGGGCCATGCCCGAGGCTCAGTACCGTGCCTTGAGGCCAGGCATGAAGATGTGAGGCCTGACTGTGACCGGTGGGCTCTGTGGGCAGACCGGCCCCAGCACGCAACTCCTCTGCGAGCAGACTGCATGCTGTTGATGACTACCTGCAATCCTTTGCGACAGTGCACGCACAGAAACTGCCTGTATGCGCTGCCTGAACTCTCTGTAAAAATTCCTTCTTGCAGCAACAATGCTCTGTGCAGATAGGAGCAACTGGCTTAAGAGAATGTACGCATGTGTCCCTCTGTGGATTGTGCAGACTCTATTCTTAGCTGTTGCTGTGCTTTAAATCTTTGGCAAACCATTTGTCGCCTCGACATGCCAATGTGCACGTCTTCACTCTGCTCGGGATCAATTCACGCTAGGAATCGGGGGCCTGCACAGCTTGCTGGAAGGTACAGTTGTGTACAACAGCAATACCCTTGATGAGTAGTAAGTCTGCGGCTGTAAAGTGCAGGCTGTGGGGGCCCAACAATGTGTGTCACAATCTCAACTACAGCAATTGCTGAGGTGTCTGCAGGCCACATTTTCAAGCCGCCTTGACCAGGGCCATGTCCAGCAAAATAGAGCAGGCTGCACCTTGGGCCGTCCAGCGCCGTTCATGGCAAAGGTCTTGGCTTTGCGGCAAGGATTCTGCCTTTGAGAAGCAGCGATCAAACCGCTTTCCTGTGCAAGATGCAGTGCTCTGCCGACAGACGGCCAAGCCGTCCCAATCACTCCCTACCTTCACATGGGCCTGGTGAGAAGTGCCCCTGTGCCGCGAGACTCTGTAAGCTGGGGAGCCTCCCGGACGACACTCCCAGAGATGGCAAAAAGTACTTGTCGTTGCCGTCCTCGCACACCTCCCACTCTTCTTGGTTGCCTCAGTCAGCCTCGCTGCCTGTGGGGGAGGAGGGGGCCCCAGTGCTCCTGGGAGTGCAACGCTGGACACTGCCTCTACGCTGGAAGCTACAAAGGACAGCCGCCACGCCAACCCCCAGATATAAAGCGAGGACAGCTCTCCAGTCAACACACAGGACACCCCCCGCCGTTGCCAAGAGACCAACCCAGGGTGCGCGGGGAAGGGGAGAACAGGAGAGGCCCACCGGTGAGCGCCGGTCCACCGCACGCCCGCATGCCGCCCAGTTGACCCCGCCACGTCTCCTCGGCCCGGGGTCAACCCTGCGGTGCCCCGCCATCCAGCACGATCCCTACGGTGGCCGCCAGGGCCGCCACGTCCTCGCCGGCCCCCTCGCCCGGCCCCCGGCTCCTGACCAGGCCCAGTCGCTGGGTCCAGAGCCGGCGGCTGTGCGGATGCAGGCACAGGGCTGCTGCTGACAGCTCCAGGGCGGCCAGGCTGGAGCAGAGGTCGGCCAGCTTCACGGCCGACTCCCAAAGGGACGGGGGAGCGGGCGGGTGGCAGGACAGCAGCGCCATAGCGAGCGTGTGCAGGTGCCAGGACGCGCGACGGTCGCGCCAGACGGCAGGCCCCTGTCGCTGCAGAGCATCGGCCATCGCCTTGAGCGGTGGAGGCCGAGGGGTTTGGGGTGGATTTTGGTGGGGACCTTGAACCTATTCCGGCGGCCTTCACAACAGTTTGGATCGACCGTTGAAGGCCAGGGATGTGGGTCCCTGACTCTGCGCAACCTGCGTCCCCCCGCATGTTTTGAGAGCCCCCCCCCCCCCAACCCCTCACCACCCACACACCTTCTTTGCGCCCCCTAGGATCAACGCCGCCTGGCCGGGCACTACGGTGGGAACCAGGGCGCAGGCGGTGGGTGCATGGCCGCCGCCTCCATCCCTCACCAGCTCCTCCATCAGCTGCGTGCGGCTGGCCTCGGGCAGGCCGCCGAACATACTGGACAGCGCCGCGCCGGCGTCTGCACTCAGTCTGGGCCTGAGCGAGCCCATCTGGCCGCTGGACCCTGCCAGGTGCGGGGGGAGGGGTGGCCCGGGTGCCTCCGACGGCCAGCACGCCGGCGCATCCAGCACCCGCTCCCCTGCAGTCAGGGCGCGCTGGGCGCCCCTCAGTGCTGCAGCGCACCCGCTCGGCCGCCTGTGCAACCTGAGCAGCCAGCAGGCGGCCTCCTCCTGGGCGGCCAGCACGCCGCTTGGCGAGGCGGACGCGGCAGGGGAGCGCGGCTCCTCCGCGTCGTCCTTGGTAGCAGAGTGGGAGTGCCTGCCTGCCAGCAGGCAGTGCAGGCAGCCCGCCACGCCCAGGTACAGGGCCTGATGGGCAGAGGCTCCCCGGCCCTGCCCCGGCTCGGGGGGGCTGTCTGGAATCCCTCCCACGCCGTCCCGGCCCACCCAGTCCAGCAGCTGGTGCAGGGCCGGGGTCAGACTGGCTCCCAGGAGCAGCCTCGCGACGCCCTCGCTCTGCACGCCCCCGGATGCACCGTCGGCAGCCTTCCCGCGCGGGGTCCGGGGGCCCTCGGCGGCTTCGGGCGTGGCAGCCGCCACAGCCGCCGCAACCGCTGCAGGCCCCTCCCACGCCGCCCTCCACCTGTCCGCCGCCCGGGCGGCCAGGTCGGGCTCCGCCTCCACCGCCAGCGCCGTCAGCGCGGCTGCCGCACACAGTGGATCCAGTAGCCCAGACCACAGTGCCAGCAGCATGGGGTTGCTGGCGCCGGGAATGCCGGCGTCACCGGCCGTCGGGTGCGCCACCGAGGTCACGCAGGCCAGCGTGGTCAGCCAGATCAGCGCGTCCGGCGGGCCAGAGGCTCCATCTTGTCCGTGGGTGGGGTGGGGTGGGGGTGTGGCTTGGGAGAGGGTGGGGCGATTCAAACTGGGCATCCCCACCGCGCATCAGAAGAGGGCGCGCGTGCTGAGCCCCCCAGACTGTGCTGCGCCGTCGTCTCCTCCCCCGGAGTTGCCCCTTGGGATTTGGTTGACGTCCAGGCCCAGCCTGGACCGCAGCCTCGAGCCCCTCCCCCCTGTCCCCCTCACCCTTGCGCCGACATGCCCAGTTCATCCAGAGCTCGCCCGCCCTCCCGAGCACGGCCTCCGCCGCCCGCGCGGCGATCGGCGCCTCGGGGACGCTCGCCGCCGGGTGCGAGACCCTGTGCCGCCAGATGTAGGCCGAGGCCGAGGGCGGCGGCAGCAGCAGGCGCCAGCTGCTGACCATCGCACCGGCCAGTTTCTGGTCGCGGGTGAGCACGGCCAGGGAGAGGCAGGCCGATAGCAGCCCGCTACGTGCCTTGATGCCTGGCACCTGCATGCACTCCCGATACCGCTTCTTCCGATACCCCTGCCGTGTCAGGGGGGGCCCCCGCGGGGGGGGGGGTTGTGAAGAGGCAATGGAGGGAGCGCACGGCATCACGTCGACCAGGGGCTAACAAGGGACCTTCGGCGTCGTGGCACCGGCCGAAGCCCCTCCAGGCTGCCACACCCATCCCACACCCGGGCGCACATCCGTGGCTATGGCGAGGTGGCGCAGGGCGCCGCTCGCCAGCAGGAACGCATCCTTTGTCAGCTGCCCTGCAGCCCAGCACACATTGGGGACGGCAGGCTCCCGACCCAGTCCCTGCTCGATGCTCTGATGGAGGGGAATGGAATGGGGAGGGGTGGCTGGTGACTGTCTCCATGCTCACAGGAAGAGGCAACGGAGTGGGTAGCTGTGCGAACCAAACAAACCAGTGGCAGGGGCATGCCAGGACAGGGAATAAAGTTGCCCCATGCTTCCATGCTCCTGTCTGGAAATCAGTACACAGCGCCCGCCTCTGTGCCTCGCGGCGCCCACCACTCACCGCAGGCACGGCGGCGTTGCCCGCCAGGGACGCCAGGGTCAACCACAGCGTGGCCCTCAGATCCAGGAACTCGGCCAGCCCCTCCTCCAGGCAGCGCAGGGTGAGGCTGGCCGGCTTCCAGCACTCCCAGCGATGTGCAGGCGCCGTGCCTCGCTTCCCCGTGCCCTTCTTCCGCTCGCTGAGGTCCAGCGGGGGAGGGAACCAGCCACGCAGCGCCTGCAGCTGCTCCGGGCGCTGGCAGGCACTGCTGACCGTGCACAGCATGCGCAGCGCGAGGTCTGTGGCGGCGCTCGCCCGCGCCCACTCGACGCGAGGCCCCCGACCCGGGCCGGGTCCGGCCCCGTCGGCGGGGCCTGGGAGCAGAGCGCAGACGCCCTTGGCCAGCACCCACAGCGTGTCCTGCAGGGTGCGCTGGCGCTGACTCAGCGCAACGAAAGCCGCGTGGGAGGGCGGCACCCGCCCCAGCCCGTCCATGTGCAGCTGGGCCTCTGCGTGGCCAGAGGAAGGGATGGGGACTGGGGGGAGGCTGGGCAGCAGGACAGCTCGCACGGACGCCCCTGCTGCGGGTGCAGGGGTGAGGCTCCCTGCAACACACCACCGAGCGACACTCCCCTCCCAGAACAGCATCCCGGCCCCACCTGCGCTCAGGGTGAGGGACAAATCCGGGCAGAGGTGCAGGTACAGGGGCCAGAGCAGTGCCGCGGCCGGGCACTGCGTGATGCCGCAGCGCAGCACGGCCAGCGCGGCGTCGCGGGCGGCGGGCGTCAGCCAGGCCTCGGTCTCGGACCCGCCCGAGTGGTGGTGCGCCGCCTGCGTCACGGCGCGCGCCCCGCCGCTCACTCCCAGGCATGCGAGCGCCGCCGACAGGAAGGCTGCCTCGCAGGGCCCTGCGCGGACCTGGCCCTCCTCCAGTCGCTCCAATTCCTCACCCCTTGGCCCTCCAGCCTTGGTGGCGGCGGGGGTCCCCGGGGTCCCAGCCACCTCACCCCAGTCCTGGGCGCAGCACACGACCCAGGCCAGCACCTCCTCCTCAGAGGCCGAGGGTCGCGGAAGGGGGGTGGCTCGGGCAGCAGCCCCCGCCGCGGCCCCCAACTCCCCGCTTTCGCTCGTCGAGCCCGCAGAGAAGTAGCGGGCCGAGGTGCCTCTGGCAGCGGAGATGCCTGGCGGCCCCGCCCCAGGCCCAGCGTGGGACCCAACGGCGCCTGCCTCTGCACCGCCCGTGCCCTGCACGTCGCTCAGCAGGGGCCCCTCCCCCGCCGAAAGAATTCTCCTGGGCGCACCGGGGACGAGCTTGTACGGCAGGGGCAGAGGCCACCGCCAGCCCAGCGGCGCTACTGCTGAGAGGAGGGGCGCCGTGAACAGGGGCCCCGGCCCCGGCCGCGCCCCGCCCAGCGCCGCGCCGCGCCGGTAGGCCGGCACCGGTTCCTCCAGCGCAACCTGCTTGATGACGGAGGGCGGCACGCGGACGGCGCCCCCTGCAGTAGCCAGGTCGCGCCGCATGCAGTACCTGGGCATGAAGGGGGTGGAAGCAGGGGAGGGGGGGGGGCGGGTTCAATCATGTGGGACCCTCGCTGAAACCTGCCTTGAGTCACATTCAGACCACTGGAGGCACACCACCAGGCGTGTCGCACGGTGTACGATGTTCAGGCTGGAGCGCCCAGGGACCCCAGAGCCATGGGCCTGTCGGTGGGTGCGCGTTCCCTCAAGCCTGCTGGTCTTCTGGACCCCCCCCGCACCCAGCCTGGCCCTACGAGACATCAGGACCCCACCCCCCTTCACCGGCAGTTAGGATCGTGGCAGTTGCCACGCAGGTCGAAGACGCAAAGTGGCCACTCTGGGTCGACGCCGGCCGGGCCCCTCCCGGCACCAGCAGGGGCGGGGGTGCCCGAGCCTGCAGCGCCGGCATGGCTCGGAGCTGGGCCCATGTTGTCAGCTGCTGCAGGGCCAGGGACACCCCATGCACCGACCCCAGGACCTCTGGGCCCTGCGTCATTCGGCCGGCTCGGTTCCACCGCGGCGTGCGCCGCGGCCAGCAGGCAGCCGTTGCTCGCGAGGAACGCGGGGACGGCCTTGGAAACCCGCCACGGTGGGGTCCGGACCCTGGCCATCGCCTCCAGGAGGCGCGCTGGTGATTCCATCACAGTCTCTTGCTGCTGCGGTGCCAGCCCAGGCACGCTACTCCCGGGCGTTTGCGGAGCAGGGCCGGGTCTGCCCGCCGCCGACTCCCCGGCCCCGCCGAGCGCCTGCACCCCTGAGTGCCCTGGACCCCACTGCGCCATCGGCGCATGGGGACAAGGTGCGGGGGCCGGGTCCACGGCGATCGGGGTCACGTTGGCGCCAGGCGCGGCCTCCAGTTCCCGCGCACGCTCGACGCCTGGGCCTGCTCCAGCGAGGCGCTTGGAGGCAGCCGTCGGAGCTGCCGCCGCGACCTGAGCAGCGGCCGCCGCGGGGGCACCGGCTTCAGTGGCCGGCGAAGGAAAGGGCGCAGCCGCCAGCGGCATGGCGAGCGTCTGAGGTGGCGGCCCCGCCGGCACGGCGGGCGTGCCCTCGGCCGGGCAAGCCTGCTCCGCTCCTGCCCCGCGCGCAGGGGCAACCCCGGCTGCGCCCGGCACCGCGGTCACCTGGTGCAGGCCGCCTACCTTGCCGATCTTGAAAGTGCCCGCACGGGCATGTGCCTGAGGCAGGGGGAGCTTGGTGGAGGGGTGTTCAGGGGACAGCCATGGAAGGCTTTCCTGCTTGGGCAGCAATTTCTTCGCAGGTCGCCCAGAGCCCACCGGTCTCCCTGCCGTCCCCGCGGTCATCCCAGCCCAGACAGCGCCACGCCCCCACCCCGCAGCCCCGCCACTCACCCACACGATCTGGCCGATGGGGTGCTTGCTGCGGTCCCAGCAGGCCAGCTGGGGGGAGCGCTGCATGCGTGCCACGACGAGGCGGACCGGGAAGGGGGTCGCACTGGCGGCAGCCTCGGCACGCACCGCGTCCCTGAAGATGACGTTCAGCTGTGCCGGCAGGTCCTGCACCGACAACTTTGGCCGGCCCGCAGCAGCCTCGCTGCGCCGCTCCGTCGGCGCGGCGCCGGAGGGGGGCCCTGCTGGGGCACTCGGTCGATCCTCCTGCACGGAGCACGGCGCACGGGATGCCAGGGTCGTGGCGGAGGGCGCCGGCATGGGCACCGGCACGGGCACCGGCGGCGCCCGGCCCGATCCCCAGATGAAGGCCGCGGGCGAGTGGGCGACTGTCGGCACGTAAGAGTGCATGGTACCGTAGGCCCCGGCCGCCGTCCCTCCACGCTGCCAGGCGGCGGCGGCGGCGGCCCTCCCCTGGTGGATTACGGGTGATGGGCGATGCCCTGTCCAGCGACCATCCCGAGGCGCGGTCGGTGGGGGTGGCGGCGGGTGGCGGGGAGGGGTCGACCCCGGCGGCATTGGCGCCGGCCCCTGTATCGCAGCGGGGGCCGCGGCGGGCTGCAAGACCTCGCCCTCCTCTGGCTCGGAGGCCCCGTCGCCGCCGCCGGCCGAGAGGTCCAGGGTGGCCGCCAGGGAGGGGCTGGTACGCAAGACGAGGGCGGCGACGGGCTCAGCCGGCCTCATGGGCGTGGCCCCAGGGGCATCGGCGAGCGGCGCCCCAAGCACGTCGGCGATGGACGCCCCGGCCACGTCGGCGCTGGAGATCGACATGTCCACCGACGGCAGCGCGGGGCCCGGGCTGACCTCTGCCAACTCCTCTGTGGCAGAGCTCGGCGCATGGTCAGCGCCATCGCTGTCGCCGGAGAGCACCACGATGGCCGGCTCTTCGCCGCCACTCTCGGTGGCCACCCCAGCGGCACCAGCCAGCGCGCGAGCATGCGGCGTGGCCCCGCCCTCGCCGGCTGATCGCGCCACGGCCGCGCCGCGGGTCGAGGAGACGGCCGACACGACGCTGGCGCAGGGGAGGGCGCGCGGTCTGGGCAGCCGCGCAGCAGGTGACGGCGTGCGGCTGCGTGACCTGGCAGCACGCCGGCCATCCTGGTCGGTCCCTGCCGGCGCTGGCGCCGGCAGGGACCCCTGCTCGGCGCCCATTTCGCGCATCGCGCGCATCGCGCGCTCGTGCAGGGTGGCCAGCCGTCCCTCGCGGTACGAGGCCACCGAGTCTGGTGGCGGCCGCAAGGGGGGAAGAGCGGCTGCAAGTGGGTCGGCAGGGGGCGTCAACGTCGAGTTGGGGGGGAGTGGGGTGCGGGGACGGCCTGGGAGAGGGCGAGGGCGTCAACCTGCTTGACGATCAACGTGCCAGACAGTCGATCCAGGCAGGGGTCGCAGCCTGCACTGTGCTGCCCGGATACTGGCTTGCAGCATGCCAAGCACACTCGAGCCTGGCCAAAGAAATCCAGAGGGCATAAGCCAAAACATCCCCGCACAGTAAAAGACTGCCGTGATCATACCCCAGCCCACCTTGGACCGCCTCCGCGCCCGACATTCCATCGCGCTGGAGGCCCGCCAACTCAGCATCCGTGCAGCGCAGCAGCTCCTGGAGGACGGCGCGGCGGAGAAGAGCGCGCTGCCGCAGGCTGGCTCGCTCGAACTCGGAAGCGACGCGCAGCCGGGCTGCCTCCTGCAGGGTGAGCATGCACAGGGAGGTTAGGTACCACAAGGGACTGCAGCAACGGATGCCCACAGCATGCAAGGTTGAGGGACGAACAAAGCAATCTTGGTATTTCCTCGCCTGCCAGGCGCCACGCAAGCATGCCAGGTGCTGGACCGCCAATGTGCGGATGCACAGGCCACCGTCTCTGGTTCATAAAGCCCTCAAACCCACAGCAGCCACCACAGCATAACCTGTCACAGCAACGCGCACCTCCGCCTCGACGACCCCTTCGCTCGGCGCTGCAGGCACCGTTGCTCGATGACCCTCCGCCACGAGCGCCTCGGCCTCCGGCATCGCTCCTGCACTACCTCCCGCGGCCCCCCTGGTCAAGCGTGACAGGGCTATTTCAGGTGGCAGCTCCTGGGACCTCATGGACAAGGGCATGGAGGGCGGCACCACCGGCCCCAGCGGGCGCGTGGACAGCGCTCCCCGCGGGGCCAGCGAAGGGAGGGTCAACCTCGGCCTTGTCTCCGGGGCTGGGGAGTGGCTGGCCTGGGCATCAAGCGCTCCCGCCGGCGGCTGTGTGCCGCCGCCCACGGAACTCGGTGGCCGTGCGGCAGGCGGTGGGCTGCCGGGGCCATCCGCCATGGCGGTCACGATGCCCCAGGCACGGACCTCTGCGCTCAAGTCAACAAGTCCCTCCGGTCGTGGCGTCTCGCAGCTGTCGAGCTCGGCACCCACCCACGTCCGAGGCCCAACGGCGGCGCCCTCGCTGCCCGCGCGCTCTGGGCACAATGGCCCAGCACGCCGCCCGCCAGCCTCGCTACTTCTCCTCAGCGTTCGGCGTGCCGGTGGGGACGGAGATCTCCTCCTTAGCCGCGGGGGCGAGCGAGACGCTGGACTCCAACTCCTCCGCCTTGCAGGCGAGCGAGATGCCGACCTCGTACTCCTGCTGTCAAGGTAGTTGCCCGACTTGGCCCAAGGATCTGGCGTGCTCCCCCTCTTCCGGCGTGAGGAGTCCCTGGTGACACGAGGATCTCTTCCGCGACCGCCCAGGATGAGGGCCCCGTCGCTACGCGGCGAGACATTCGCCCTGGGCCGCGCTCGTTGAGGAGGCAGGTAGCCCTGAGACCGCACTCTCCCGAGAACTGCATTGGCAGGCTCGCGGGTGGGCTGGCAGTCAGGCTCGGTTGCCGCCGAAGCCTGGGCCTGGCAGTCAGATTCACTCAGCCCTGCGGCGGTCCGTCTTCTCTCCGGCGGCTCGGTTGGTAAGCGCGAGGGCTGACTGGGGCCTTGAAAACTAGGTGCGCTCCAAGGTGGGGCCGGGCCACTCTCGTCGGCCCCGGCCTGCGCGGAACTGTCCGGAAGTCGCTGACCGGGGCCCCTGGAGGGCCACCCACCGCTGGCCGGGCGAACGTCGGGCGACGACGCAAACGGCCTCGCTCCAGGCTCGCCGGGACTTGCCCGTGCACGGTTGGGCAGCGCCGCCGCCTCGCCGCCTTCTGTGCTGCCGCCCGTCTCTTCCTCCCGCTGTTGCATGCCTGGGGCCTCCTGCTGCGCGGGTCGAAGCACAGGCTCCCCCTGCGCCTGCAGGTCGGCGCTCCCAAGCTGATGCTGCTGCTGCGTCGAGGCGTCGCTGCCCAAATCAAAGATACAGCGCGGCTGCGGGGCCGGGAGGGCACCTACGACGCCTTCCCCGGCGGGCATGGCGCTCTTCTCAAGCCTGTGCCCCAAGGTGATCCCTCCAATGGTTCTTGAGACCAGTCCAGACCTGGTCGGGCCTGTCGGAGGAGAGACTTGCTCTCCTGCCGCCACGCTCACCCCTGAAGCATCGAAGGGAATGCTGTCTGGGTCGCCGTGCGCTTGGCTCTTGCCGTCCACGCCGCCGAGGACGCAGTCGACGCGCGCTGCTCCATCGATCGCATCGGCGCCCGGGACAACCGTGCCAAGCGCCAGACCGCCAGCAGGTACTGCAGGGAGCGAGCGACCCACGACTGCCGCTGATACAAGCACATGGCTAGGCTGCTCAAGAGCGGCAATGCTCAGGAATGGGCCGGCCGTGGCGGCCCCCGATCCGATCAGTGTGGGCCTCCCCTTCTTGGCGTGCGCGACAGTGACTGGGACAGACGGCGCGCTTGACTGAGCGATGGGTGCTGGCGCTCCCGACTTTGCAGGTCTCGTTGCTGGGCCATGCGCTGTGGAAAAGGCCGCCAACGCCAACAGTCCCGACGCAGGGCCTCCACCAGAAGTGCCAGCTGGCTCTGCAGCCACCGAGCCCGCGATCCCTGACCGGGGCGCATGCGCCACCTCTCCGCTGCCAGCTTTGGGCGGCAAGGCGATGGCGGTGGAAAGGGAGCCATGGGGCCCATTCGCGGCCAGCACTGAGCCAGCACTCGTCGTGCAACCAGCAGCCGCGCCCTCCCTGTCTGACGGCCGGAGAGCAGCTCCGGCAGCGCCCGCCGTCTCGGTCATGGACTGGCGCGCAAAAGGCGCGGCAGTCATCGGCAGCGACGCCCCGCTCAGAGTCCTCGCCTGCCGCTGACTCGGACCGGCCCCGCAGCTCCCAACTTCAGGCACAAGGCCTGCGCCGCCGGCAGCAGGGCTGGTGCCAGCCCCGCTGGTGTGCGCAGGCTGGAGCTGCAAGGGTGGCTTGGCAGACCTGAGCGGCGGCCTGCGCGCCTGCGGCACTTCGCCAGACTCAAATGAGGAGGTGGGAGACGGGGTGCCGACCCTGACTGAGGCAGCGAGCCCCAGTGCGGTCTGAGGACCTGCGACGCCCAGTCCTGCGTTTGAATGGGCTGCTGTAGAGCGGGCAGCGGCTGCAATGGAGCAGGCAGCGGCTGCAGTTGAGCGAGGCCCGGCTCCTGAGGGGCCGACTCCAGGCTGCGCATTGTATGGGGTCCGAAGGCAGGGATGAAGATGAGGCTGTGTTCTGGGCATCGTGACTCCAAGCAGCTTGCTAATGTGTGACATAAGCACATGCAACAGAGTGGCAAACAATGCAGAAGCTCCCCCAGCCTGCAGGGTCGCAGGCGTGGCACCCCACATTGAGCGGCTGGAGGGCCCTCACCTCTCCAGCTTTGCCCTCTATCTGAGCACGGAGGGCAGATATTTTGGCTTGCAGTGCAGTATAGTCCTTGATCGAGGGCACAGGATGGGAGCGCTCGTGCTGACCCCGTGCGGCCCGACTGCCCCCTGGAATGGTCGGCTTTGCACCTTGACTGGGGACTTCTGCACCAAGGAGAAAGGCAACGGTTGGAGCTCGAACTGAGCACACGGTACCCTAGGGATCTAGCAATCGCCCTTGGCACAAACATCTCGCCTACCTTCGTCCTCCGCGTCGAAATCGATGATGAGGCGTCCCTCCATGGTAGGCCAGGCCCGCTGCTGGGCAGGCACCTATGGCACTGCATACCAGGTCGTCATGATTGGAATGCAATGATATATACTACGATCAATAAGAGTAGAAGCCTTATCGGAGTCTGTTTCCAGAAGGTAGGAATGAATATCTTTCGAGGCTCCTGCAGTGTTGTAACATGCATATCACGCATGACGCGCCTGTGTGGCGGTCACTGTATCAACCCCCTGTGCAATGTCCTCATGCAACCCCTTTCGATACCGGTACTTGATGGGGCTGGCGCTAAATATGAATCACAGAGCTGTCTAAGGTCCATTGCTGTGTCGATCGGCCTCCTGATTACCCTTCGCTGTCCAACAAGATGACATGCAGGACATACCTAGGCATGTCCTCCAGCAGAGGTGGTGCACGTCATCATCTCTTCAGCGAATGGTTGATGACCTTCGCTGACTCATTCTTGATCGGTTGGCACTCGAAATAGCTCATGTCATGCTGCTGGCAGGGTGTCAAAACAAGCTTCGCATCTTGGTCCTGCTGTCCATACAGAGGATCAGGCACACCGTGTTCAGAACAATTGTCATTCGATGACCTGCTCGTAACGCTGTACGTGTATGCAAAGGAGGTTGGTAGGGACCTCTGGCTCCCGTCAGTATGGTCGGGTGCTTAGCACATGAACGTCCAGCAATGTCTACAAAACCTTGAAGCTTTCTTCGCTATGTCTATCGTTACAGCCGAGGGCGAGGGAAGAGATAAAAATGAGTCCAACACGATGAACATATAAAAGCTGCTCAGTGCATGCTGATTTGGCAAAAATGTGTCCTAGAAGGGGTACCACCACCGCGGGGTACCGCTGTCTCCATCTTACTGCCACCACCAAAAAGGTTCCTCCCCGGACCCAGGTTACAACTTGGACCCGGCAGATTCTTTCTCCCTCGCGTATTGTACACGTCCAAAAGAGTCCCGTAGTCCCCCAGCATGGCTGTCTACGGAACCTCCAGCGGTCCCTTCCTCGGCGCATCATACAGTCTGTGGAAGCTGGCGAGGAGCACCGGTAAGTGCAATGGGTTGATTCAAGGCGAAAATCGAATCAATATTATACAGATGCGTACAGCGATGTTCTGAGCGCATCGTGTCACTCTTCGTTGTCTGCACCGTCACCTGAACAGGCAAGGCCGCCTGGATCGCGGGGACTACTTTCGTCATCCTCTTCGTTCCTCTCATCATCGAGCTTGAGCGTGAGGCCCAGCTGGTGGAGTTCGAGACCAGTCAGCTTGGTGCCCTGACCTCCCCCTCCAAGTGAAGGCCAATAGGACGCCCACTCCGAACAGTAGCAACACCTGGAAGTCCCTGCAGCCACCGCTTCCGTCATCTGGGAGGACTAGCCACACGACCCTAGATATAATGGCAGAGGCAGCACGCCCCGTGCTGCACCTTTTCCGCATCATCCTGCGGGCTCACCGGGAGAAGCTGCCAGCTCCCATGCGGGAGCTGGGCGACACCTATGTTAAGGACGAGTTCCGCAAACATCTTCGTGGCAAGACAACCCAAGAGCAGTGGCGGCAGTTCATGGAGGAGTGGAGGCGCTATGCCGGGACCCTCGCGGCGTCAGATGGGCCCCAGGCTTCGGGCGGTGTGGCCGCAGCTGACGCTTCGGGCGACATCCCTCCAGAGGTCCTGGAGACTCTGACCCCAGACCAGCGGGCACGGCTGGCAAAGCTCCGCGCGGAGGCCCAGCGACTCCGTGCAGACTTGCTGGGGGAGTCCCGCTGAGTGCAAAGCTGTAGCACTTGGGGCTTCGTGGCGGGAGCTGAATGGCTACATGGAGTGCTGACGTGAACGGATAGTTGGCTAGATCCGAGAAGATAACCTTGCAATGTGCCATGTGCTTGGCCCCCACTGGTCTTCTTGTACCACAACCACCCCCAAGGGAAGCGGGGATACAGACGCAGGAGGCAGAGTCGGGTTCCCAGATCAGCCAAACCCGGAGGGTTGGGGGATCCTACAAATATAGTGCGTTGTATACGCTTGGCGAGAATTTCCCCGCTGCGAATGCCTGATGTGTCCTATTTCGAGCATTTTAATACATCCTGTTTGGCTGTCCATGCCGTATGCATTGTATCCTGCGGGATTTCCGTGCTCGGCACACGAGGTGCCTTTCCAGGACGAGGCATGACTTGCTGACGGATCGTCGCTCAGCCCTGGCTGGGTGGTATCAAGCTAATCGATCCTTCCCCTTTTCAACACTCCTCACCCTAAAACTATCTTATACGAGGCCCTTGTCTGTGGAAAATGCCAAGTCATCGCACCGACCGCTTCTTCACGATCGACCGGGATCACTAGCTTTGGGGAACGGTGCTGGTTATTTGTGCCAGTGCAATACGGCCCTGACACGGTGGGGTGATAGTGTACGGAGGACACACATCGCTTTCATGATCCCGTATCTTTATCCACGATCGCCGGCACCCGTGCGGCGTGTGGCTCGGCTCCTGACGGCGAGTGTCAATCGCAGAAGTCTGATCTTGGTTTCGTCGCACTTTCCATCGGATCCGTGCCAGCGAATCTAGCGGATCAAGTTGGATTGCACAGCCCACCCACCTCGAGTCCTTCAAGTTCAGTGGCTGCTCCAGCTTCCGTCTTATACTTTCATTCATCACCATTTCATTTATCTGGCATTAAACCCAGTGTACACGCCGTCATGCAGTCCGCCACCATGACCCGCTCCTTCGTGGGCACCAACATCCGTCAGGTCGTCCCCAAGGCCGGCAAGGTCAGTGCCGGGCATCACTCGCTCGTTACATCTCTGTGCTTCTCGTCTGCTGCCCATCGCACTGCCGGGCAATGTGCTGCACCCCGCGCCTTGCGCGATCATGTCGGTCCGAGGCAGGGTTGATTCAACATCTGCTGAAGATTGTGTCTCGATCGTACCATATCTCACCTTTCCGCACGCGTCGACCACCCGCAGGGCCCCCGCCAGGTGACCCGCGCTGCCGTGGAGTTCTACGGACCCAGTGAGTCGCGGATGCTGAGTTTGTTCCGGGATACCCTCCTCCGATCATGAGGAGGTCGTAGTGCACCTCCTGATTACTGTTCATCTGTCCTGCATCTGTTTGTACCTCACATTGTGGGTCGAGCAGTCCACTGCTGGGCCAGCACATGTCTGTCCTTGTGAATGAATAAGTGCCTCACCCAGGGCATGTGTGAAGCCCTCTCCAATGGAGCCATGTACTCAGCAGGCCCCCTTCCACCTCCTCTGCAGACCGCGCCAAGTTCCTGGGCCCCTTCTCTGAGGGTGTCACCCCCTCCTACCTCAAGGGTAAGAGTATTTCCCCCTAAGCGCCTAAATATTGAGCAGTCATGAATCGCCTTCTAGAGTCGCCATCTGCACGGCACCCACTCCACATCCCCCCTTCCACCTCAGGCGAGTACCCTGGCGACTACGGCTGGGACACCGCCGGTCTGTCCGCCGACCCCCAGACCTTTGCCCGCTACAGGGACATCGAGCTGATCCACTCCCGCTGGGCCCTGCTGGGTACGCTGTGCTGGTGGGGGTTGTGAGGCTGTTGCTTGTGGGGTTTGCGTGTGTGATACAGGTCTTGAGCTGGACAGCCGCTTGTCAGTCCTGAGACCCTTCATCCTTGACCCCTGTGTCACAAAGACGAGCCTCGTGCCACTCCCACTCCCACTCTCCTCCACGCTGTCCAGGAGCCCTCGGCATCCTCGTCCCTGAGCTGCTGCAGCGCAACGGCGCCGTCGCCTTCCCCGGCGACACCTCCGTCTGGTTCAAGGCTGGCTCGGGCATCTTCGGCTCCGACGGCCTGAACTACCTGGGCAACCCCTCCCTGGTGCACGCCCAGTCCATCGTGGCCACCCTGGCCGCCCAGGTGGTGCTCATGGGAGGCGCGGAGGCCTACCGCTCCGGCGGCGGCGAGTCCATCGGCCTGGACCTTGACAAGCAGTACCCCGGCGGCCCCTTCGACCCCCTGGGCCTGGCCGACGACCCCAACGCGTTTGACGAGCTCAAGGTGAAGGAGCTGAAGAACGGGCGCCTCGCCATGTTCGCCAACTTCGGCTTCTTCGTCCAGGCCATTGTCACCGGCAAGGGGCCCCTCCAGAACCTGAGCGACCACCTGGCCGACCCCTGGAACAACAACGGCTTCGCCGCCGCCACCAACTTCACCCCCAGTGAGTGTCAGGGATTGATTGTTTGGGACTGTGGCCTGGGCTCCGTCTATATGAATGTAGTGCGCTGCACCCGACACCACACCTCACTTCGTCACCTCTCGCCACCACACACAACCGCAGGCGGTTAAGAAGGATGTGCTCTCTTCCTTTGCGTCTCCATTCAAGATGCTCTGCTCGCTCACTGATCGCCCTGTGAAGATGTCAGGCGGGTGGCCAGCCAGGCAGCCAGAGTCGGTTTGATCCAGCTGTGCATTCTTCCTTGGTTCCCATTGGTCCTCCCCGTGAGCTTTGGGGTGATGGCAGTTTTGCGTAGCTTCAATTTTGTGTAAGAACGATGAGGCCCATGCTGATTGGGAGAAATGAGCACAAGGGAGGAGGGAAGAGCACTGAGAATACATATGGTAGTCGAGAGAACAAGCCAGAAAGTACATTGATGTGCATGGCACTGGAGCTTCAACATCTATGCCTCGCCCTTGCTGCCAGCCCTCCGCTTCTGTTTGCGCTTGAGCTTCGCGGCTCGCTTCTGGAGTGCCGTCGCCAGCTTGCGCTTGGGGGCCGGGGCAGGTACACTCTCCTTCACCTCTGCATCGCTATCGTCCGACATGCCCAGCACAACATCGAACTCGTGCTGCAGGTTGGAGAGGACAGAGGTCGTGAGGAGTCTTTGGCTTCTGGACTGATCCATCATGTGCTGGTGTGGTCTTGCGCATACCCCAAGACAGAAAACCTCGACACTCCTGCATGCCGGGGACACTGGTCCCAGGATCGCACCCGCACCTCACACCGCCGGGCACCTCGTCCCGCCATCACTTGCGTCCCTTGGCCTTCCTACCGCAGGAAACACTTCTAAAGACTGACCTCCAAGCACTCCCCAACTCCCCCAAACCAACCTGGGAGATCTTTCCCCGCCGCAGCTTCTTCAGCATGGTGTACTCGGTAGCCAACTCCTCCGCCTCATCCGCCGCCTCGAGTGCACGCCGCTTGGCGGCCGTCAGCCGTGCCCCCGCCCCCACCGCCTCGGTCGCCTGGCGAGCAGCCGCCTGGCGGGCGGCCTGCTGCGCCGCGCGGTGGGCTGCCTTGGCGGACTCCCGCGGCCCCTCCGCCTCCCGCTTCTTCAGCAGTGCCTGCCGCTGCTTCTCCCGCGCCTTGTCATTGAACTTGACTGTGGATGGTGAGGGTGGGGTGGGTGCAGGGGGCTGTAACGTGTTGGTGGTGGGAAATCACAAGGGCAATGGGTGCACATTTCTGGGATCACAACGAGTGGCAGCTATCGACACGACGCTCAGGCCGCACAGCACCCACAAGATGGGATGCTCTGCACAGATGTTGTCCTCGGCAGCAATGTCTCAAGACAGCTGCCACCACGACCCAACTCGATCCCCTGCGCATCACCACCCGCCAACAAACCCTGCTCACTGCTGTCCACATCTATGGCGGAGGGCTCGAAGCCGGCCAACCTGATTCCCGCCTTCTTCACCTCCGGCATGCCAGGCAGCCTGAGCAGCCCAAACGCGGTCGCCAGCTGGCCCAAGGGGACATCCTGGGGAGAGAGTTGTGGAATGGGTGTGGCCGAACAAATTGCAGCCGCGAGCTCAGTGGGCCTCGGCCAGGTGCAGGCTCTGTGAGCTCGAAGAAGCTACCCCCTGGTGCTGCGGGCCTGTGCCCAGACGACTCTCCCACGCCACAGATTTCTTGGCTGCCTGGCCAGCGCCGTTGTTCGCCTCCCGACCCAACACCCTATTCAGAAACACACCACCCTCACCCACCTGTATCCTGAAGATGTAGCGGCAGTGGTGCTCCTTGTACCCGCGCACGTACGACACAAAGGCCTTGACCCCGGCCTCCATGAAAGCGCGGTCGGCCTCCGCGGCGGCCCGCAGCCGCGCGTTGGTGGCGGCGCCATCCGCGGCCGCGGTACCCAGCACCGCCGGGGTCGCGGGGCGGAGGGGCACCTTGCGCACCCCCAGGAAGTCCACGTAGGAATCCTCATGCGGCATAAGCAGCAGCAGCGCGTCGCCTGGCATGAGAGGAGAGGGGGGATGGACTTGATGAGTTGTGGGTCGGGCAAGGATCGCACTGGGAGAAACGCGGCGAGTGGTGTATCCAGGCACGCCTCGAGTGCCGGCTGGAAGGAGGCCTTCAGCCCGGCCCTTCCACCTGCCGGCAGGAAGCGTGATCACACACGCATACACTCACCACTGCCACCAACCTCCCCGCCCCCTCCCACCATGTACCTGAGCGGCCCATGCGTGCGGTCCGCCCCACCCGGTGGATGAAGGCGGCGGGGTCCTGGGGCGGGTCGGCCTGCACGATCCAGTGTACGTCGGGGATGTCCAGCCCGCGCGCCGCCACGTCGGTGCAGAGCAGCACGCCGGTGGTGGCGGCCGCGTAGGCCTCCAGCACCGCCTCTCGCGCCGCCTGCTTCATGCGACCGTGCAGCGCGCTGACGACCAGGCCGCGCGTGCCGGGCAGCAGGCCCAGCGCCAGCAGGGCGTGATCCACGCAGGCGCAGGTCAGGAAGTAGACGATGATCTTGCTGTCGGGGTGGGCCTGTGCGTTGGCGTGGGTGGATGGGCGGGGGGGTGGGGGGTGTTGCAGGGAGGGACAGTGAGGAGGGTGCATAGGGCCACGTAACTGAAACACTTCAATGATGCCACACGGCACTGCAATACGTCCAATCGCGCAGTCCGATGCTGATCATGAACATGCAACCCAGCTCAGCCTGACCCTGCCAGCCAACCCTCCCCCCCTCATCAATACCCTGACCTGCAGGAAGTGGGCCAGGACAGCAAGCTTGTCGACGGCCTCCACAATGTGGTAGCAGATGGAGAGCGTGCCCGGCGTCCGCTGCTCCAGCTCATCCCTCTGGAGCTCCGCTTCCCAGCCCGCCGCCTCGGCGACGCCCTCCACATCGGGCCGCGGGGCGGCGGCCGCGCGAGACACCGCGACGTTGACGCGCACGGCGTTGCGCAGGCCCGCCCTCGCCAGGGCCTGGACGGCCTCGGTCTGCGTGGCGCTGAACAGGCCTGATTTTGGTTGGGGTTGGGGGGTATGGAGGAGGTTGAACTGCGAACTACAGTCGCAGGCGACAGCCTTCATTGGAATGCAATACTGCTCGGCTGTCATGAATCTCCGGCGTTCATCTCCAACATTCTCCCGCGCTGACCTGTCCTTCGCTGGCGGGGGAGGGCGGAGATGATGGCGTCCAGCTGGACCTTGAATCCCATGTCCAGCAGGCGATCCGCCTCGTCCAGCACCAGGATCTCCACTGCACATAGGAAAGGAAGGAAGGGGGAGGATGGTGAAAAGGCATATCTTGTCGCTGTCTCCTGGCAGAGGACGGTGCTCCAGACCATGCGCTTCTCTTGGGTCATGAGCTTCAGACCCTGTGGCTCTGGGCTCTGAATCGAGCGACACCTCACCCGTCTTGACCTCCAGCCAGGCGGCGCAGCGCTGGCGTATGTCGTCCAGCCGCCCTGGCGTGCCAATCAGGACGTTGCTGCCGCCGTCGCGCAGCTGGGCCACGTCGTTGGCAGGGTCGCTGCAGTGTGTATGTTTGGGAAGGCATGGGCGTCCAGAGGGGCTGGCGAGCCTCGATGTGCCGCGGCAAGTGTATCATGGCTCCTCACCATGGCGGACCAGGCACACGACTCTGAGCAGTGGTGGACTCCCCGCATCTGGCCATGTGAGGTATTAATGCACCAGCAGCAATAACATGCTTGCTGTCAAGCACCTCTGCCACCCCCGGACCCCCACACACCTTCCTCCGACAAGCAGGGCGGCCTTCAGCCAGGGCACCGATGCGATGAACGGTTGGGCGACGCTGTATATCTGACGCGCCAGCTCGCGCGTCGGGGACACCACCACCGCACCCACCTGAATGCCACGGGTGTAAGCATCGGTGGCGGTGAGGGCACAGAGATTGTGGTGCAGGGTATGTGCAGGACAATCCCGATTCAGGACAGCAAGGAGCACAGCGCAGGACTGCACACTTGCCAACCCCAGGGCCGCTACCTCGCGATGCCCGGCCCGCCACCCACCTGATGTATCGTCAGGGGCTCCTCGAGACGCCTCATCTTCTCGATGAGAGGGATCAGGAAGGCCAGAGTCTTGCCCGAGCCGGTGCATGCGTCCACTGCCACGTCCTTGTGGCCAGCAAAAAGAGGAATGGTGGCCTCTTGCACGGGCGTAGCCGTGCGGAATCCCAGTTTGTCCAGGACGGCCAGCGTCTCGGAGGAGATTCCGCCCAGTTCCCGGAAGTCGCGCCCTGCCATGGCACTCTGTTTGCCTGGCAAGCTCGCGCACAGCGACAAATCAGGAAGCTGAATGAACGGAGTGTATGGATATCATGTTCATAGCTGAGTGCCAGGGCAGCGGCGTGGGCTGGACTGGTCATGGTGGGAAGGCCATTCATTGGCAGTCTCCGTCGCGCCCAGAGTGGGGCGACACTTGTGCGCGCGGGCCGGCGGGAAGATGCTCATGACAGCGTGCCTTCCTGCCGAGTACACAGGCTACGTCCCCTTCCCTTGAATCCCGTCACAAGGCATCGGCCTCCTGCACATGCATAGTTCATGAAGTGATTTCCTACAAGCACTGATGCATGCAAAGTTTCGGTGATCGCCACTCTGTCCTGTGAATCCGCACCTCGGACCCTTGCAGTCTAGCATTACACGAGCTTATAGCTTACATGCGCTCGTGGGGTACCATGCCACAATGGAACCCTCAAATTGTTGCCTCGGAAGGGTCGGGGCCGGCCCTGCTTGTGGCAGGAGCAGCTGCGCTGACAACGGGGTTGTGCATCGGGTATGCCGTGGGGAGGAGGTCTGCCCACCCACATCCGAGCAACGGCCATGCGGGGTCTGGCCACGGCCATATGGGACGGACATGGAGCGATTCTAGCCTCTCGAGTTTGTACCCATCGGCGCCCTCCTGTGAGTTGTCATGCGAAACACTTGCAGCATGGCATGGACCCATTGCATACTGTGTTCTTCTAGGAAAGCTGCGCAGACCACCCTCGCGCCATGTTACCGCAGCTGGAGCCCCTTCCCCAATGAAGCCCGGCTCTTCGGCAAGGACCCTGTCTGGGGAGGGCGGGGACATGCTGAGAATGGCCGTTGTACTCAGAACTGACCTGCCATCAATGGTGAGAGATGTGTTCAGGTGTGAGGGGGGGGGGGCGGCGCTGATCAAGGCTGCCAGTATTTCAGTAATTTTCATTTGTTGTTCAACCTTGTCCGCATAAGAGGGCAGACTATAAGTGATGGCGCTTGACCAGGTGCTTTGAACTTGATTCGTCTCCCGCTCTCACGTCGTCTCGTGGCAGAATGAGGCTCACATGACCAGAGGCGTCGCATGGACGATGCTGGGCATGTTCAAGAAGCTGTGGAAGCGTAGGGACGAATACTTGAAAGCATGGGTAAGTGGTATCCGTGGCCATAGACGCTGAGCAGTTAATGTGTCAGGGTTGCGCTTATTAGGAATGCTGTGCCTTATGTGATCCAGATACCCATCGGATTCCTTACCTTACCCCTGCACAGGACCTGCATGGGCGATCCCTACTAGTGCTTGGAGCTGCCAGCGAGGAGGCACTGCTGAACGCACAAGCCGCTGCTCGGTGGGCTGAGGTGGTGAGATCCCCTTACATTTCACAATGCAAGTGTGTCATGTGCCTCCCACTGACCTCTGCTCCTTCCCCCCACCCCGCCCGACCAGACGCATCTCGCTCCCGACGCACACATATGCGGGGGTGCCAGGCCAGCCAAAGGAGCGCTCTGTGATGGTGGTGGGACCCGCCAGTGAGAGGCTGCTCCGAGAGACCCTTCCCGAGCTCCAGATTCTTTAGACTGGGGGGTTATGTGGGGAAGGTCGGTGCCTCTCCCCTCAAAGCTTCTGAGACTATGTTGCAAGCCGGTTGGCCCTGTGGGTGATGCACAGGCGAATTCCATGCCCCATCGCCTCCTTGACATGACTGCATGACAGCCAGCCGCTCAGTACTCTGTCTCTACCTGTTCCTGGAGTGTGACTGGCACGGCGCAAGGCATTGACTGCTGTTTGAGGCACAGTGCATAACCCCTTGCATGACGACATGCTTCCCTTGATCACTCACCCCCACACCCCTCTTGGACAAAGTTGCCACATTCTGCACCGCTTGAGGATTGATTGTTATTGGTACTGCCTCATTTCCATGCCCAGACTGCTTCTCTGCCCCATGCATTGACAGCCTGCACCGCGGACTCTGCATCTAATGCTGCCAGGGTGGCAGGGCCAGGGGATCCACGGGTGGTGCCCGCATCTGCCTCAAACGCCCAGGGGTGCCGAGTTTGTAGCTGCTGGCGCATAGACCTGCATCCAGGAGTGTGTGACGAAAGCGATTGTCTCTGCTGCATGAACTGAAGCGAGGTCAGGAGCACATGATGAATGACAACCGATCAAACGTACTTGAGGCGCCTGTGCAGGACATCAAGGTCGCCGCGCATGCTCTGCAGGATACGAGCTCGGGTACCCAGATCCTCTACCAGCTCTGAAACGACTTTCGGCGATGATCCGGAGTGAAGAGCTTCTTGTATACTTCGGACCTGATCAGTCCTGTCAGCAGGGTGCGAGAAGAAATAGGCTGATGTGCAAGGGCGAGCTGAAACCAGATGCAAGGACTGGCATCGAGTACTCACAGTTTACGCTGTATAGCCTCCATCGCTACTGCCTGTGCATGGTGTGTTGCGCTCTTGCCACCCATTGGCACGTCTGGCGTCGGGCGGGTTGAAACAATGAAGCCCAGTGTAGAACCTGATTACTGGAAACCTTCAGATGCAACTTCACTTTTGAGTCCAAGATTGCTGAATCTGTTCCAGTCTGTATGCCGACAATGGGCGCCTGTGCTTGACTTCGCTGTCGAAACCCTTTGCTTGCCGGGACAGGCTTTCGGCACAGCACAGCATGCACCGATCGCTTTCGCTTCTTATCTTCTTTCTGCATTCGCTTTGATGCATCACTGACGAGCAGCATGTCGCAACGGGGACATTGATGATCTATTGATGTTTCGTTGATGACCTGAATTGAGTCTGCACCATGTCGCTCGCAATGTGTATGTCTGTGAGCTCAAGTATAAGGGCAACACAATCGGGCAGCCCTGCTCGAAGCACTTCCCGGCCTATGTGAGCGGGGAGGGAGCCATATCCATCCCCCCACGATTCGCCATGGTTGTGTGTCGCCCTTCACCCCCATCCAGCCCACACGGTGTCAACCATCCCCTTCACATCTCGCTGCAAGCAGGACTGCAGCCACCAGTGGTGGCTACTTCCAAGGGAGGCTCCCCCTCCTGTCGCGGAGAGGTCGCCGGAGTGCTGTGCCTAGGGCTGCCATCTGCCCGGACAATGCCAGCATCCTGGTCGCGGGGGAGAGTGATGTAGCACTCGAAGTCACGCGGCTCTTGCGGGACCAAGGAGCCTGGGTGTGGCATCTTCAGCAGGCAGAGGACAACAGGTGTGCTTGCACGAGGCAGGGCTGGGAGCATGGGAGCAAGAGTTACAGCAGCAGGTCCCTCATAATTTCTGCGTCTTGCTTTCCTTCCAACGTCTGAGCTTGTCGCTGTAATAGATGTATGAAAGGAGATTGAGCGCTGGGGTCCCATGCGGTCTCTCCACACTTGTGACCTCACCCAGCCCCCATCCAGCCCAGTATCCTCCCCCCTGCTCATGCACAGGGAGCACATCGAGGGAATGGGCGCCATCGTCGTGAAGGCCGACGCAGCCAGGGCGGATCAGATAGATGCAGCCATGGCTGGAATCGATGGACTGCAGGCGGTGGTCTCCACCCTGGGCAGCATTGCTGAGCCTGGCACGTCCTCTGGCGGCACCCTGGTGAGTAGACCACGAAGTTGGGTGTGCTTCCACACTGGTCATGGCAGCTTTCCTTGAAGGGCAGGGCGATTCACGCTTCATTGCGACAGCATCCCCACCTATCACGCATTGTACCTGACGCAAGGAATGGTTCTGCATCTCAAACCCACCGATTGGCACTCAATCACCTGGATCTGTGACCGACGCCTCACAGGGCACGGTTAACCTGGTCAGGGCGGCTGCTGGGCTTTCTGTCGAGAAGTTTGTTCTGCTGGGCGCCGGGGAAGCAGTGGACCACTTCAAGATCTACGATGGCCTCAATTATGTCATCATCGAGCCGCGCAGGGAAGGCCCTGCCTCCGCCCAGGAGGTGGCGCAGACCCTGGTGCAGGCCCTTGTGACAGATGCAGAGGACGGCAAGGTGGTGCCGTCCAGTGGTGCAGCATCCAGTGCGTGACATGTTGACTGCCCAGGAAAGGGATGGAGCCATGCAGCCAGGAGACTGACATGTAAGACATGTGTTCCGTTGTGCTGCCGAGCAACATGCACTCAAGACCCATTGCTCCTGGCACAGCTGCCAGGCCGAGGGACACACCGGAGCGCGCCTGAACAAGCCTGGAAACGAAAGTGCACGACTCCGGTCGCAGGAATGACATGGCGCGACAGACGGCACATTACTCCACTCTAATGCGCTCGTAAATTATACAATAGCTCTTCTGCATCCGTAGACGCCCCGAGTCCTGTCACAGCCCCATTTGCAGCGCTCCGGCACGGCACTTCCGGCGAATGGAGCGCAGCGAGGTGACGGGCGCTTCAGGGTACAGTGAAGGCACCACAACCTTGTTGGGCCTGTCCCAATCTTCGAGGTCCCAGAGAAGTGCCCTGAGCTCCTTGCTGCGACGGGGCCTTGCTGGCAGCTTGGCGGTAGCTCTGTCGCCCTGGCGCCTCCTCCTCGCCTGGGCCTCCTGGTGGTCTGGCCTCCTGCTCTCCGCCCTCTCATACCTGGGCGCGACCCCAACCGGGTTCCTGCCCTACTCCAAGGTGACATGCTGCGATCATGACATGGATGATGGGCGAGATGGGGCATCCTCCAGTAGTAGACAAGGGCACCGGCACTGCCCTCCCTGACACCCAGTGCATGTTGCTGCCTGCCTCCACCTACCTGGCATGGCTGGAACCTGCCTGTTCCCTTGCCTGTCAGTACCAGGAGCTGGGTAACATCGTGGAGCACATGCACTCCCGGGAGGATGCCTTCCGAACGACCATCAGGGTGAGCAGGGGCAGGGACGGTGTGCGCCAGCCCACAGAGTGCGGGGCAAACCCATGTGCATGCATGGGAAGAGCTTGTACATCTCATCCATATGGCCCCTAGACCCCGCGTTCCGTGGCTGTGTGTTGACACCCCTCTGTGTCTCCTGCATCCTTGAGCAGGAGTTGCAGGACAAGCTTGATGCCAACAATCAGGACAAGCGAAAAGCCCTCCGAAAACTCAAATCTACGCTGGTGAGAGTTGGGAAGTGCTGGACGGGGGAGGGGGGGAGCGTTCATGCAGGGCTGTATGGCGACCTGTGTAAGGGAGCAATCCAAGGGGCTGGCTCCCATGCCCCGCCATGGAGTGATGGTGAGTTGTGTTGGTACATACGGTCTGAGCTGTCGAGTGCCGCATGCTTCACGTCACTGGCATGAAGCCCGCCTGCATGGCGCTCCATGCCGTCCAGGCCACACCTTGCACGCTCTTGCAACAGCAATCCCCTTCCCTACTCACAGTCGGAGCTGGAGCTGACGCACCAGCGACTTGGTGAAGGAGGGGGTCCCTTCGATGCAGATGCACGCAAGCAGGGGCCGCTTCTCACCGAACGGCCCTCCAGTAAATCTGGACTGCACATCTCAGCGGCAGTGCTTGCCCTGGCTGTCTGGTGGTTTTACTCCCAGGTGGGTTGCAAGGGAGGGCATGGGAAATCCTTGTCCACCCAGCCCAGGCTCTGGAAGGGGGATCGGTGCCTGCGAGGCAGAAGTGAGGGCCAGCTTGCTTGCCTGCAATGTTAAAAGTTCCATTCCTATTTCAAGCTAGCTTGATTCCTTGCACCAACAGTCTCTACCCCTCCTTTCCCTCTTCAGGACCAACCAGCCCTGCAGAGGAAGGTGGTCTTCTCCGTACTCTTCCCGGTGAGAAGCTGTTGTTGTAAGGGCTTTTGCAGGCACGGCAGCTGTCCATGCTCATGCCCTTGCTGGTCTCGGCGCCTGTGCCACATTTGTAGATCCTCCTTTGTCTTGTCATTTGCTGGCGACCTTCCTTGCACCACCACCCCTCCCTCCCTTCCCCCCCTCCTTCTCCTCTCCAGCTGGCATGGGCGTACGTCGCGGCCCTGGGCAGCAGACGGCCGCCCATCACGCTCCTCTGCTGCGCCTGCTGGTTCCTGACCGGGTTCGTGGCGGCCTACCGCCTCTCGGCGGCCCAACGCACCCTCCTGTAGCGGCATGTGATGGCGAGGATCTTCCTCGCTCCCCACCATTCTACCACTTGTGTAGCATGGACGGCCTCCAGTGGGGACAGCTCGTTCCTGATGACTATGAAGGGGTTGGGGAGCATGCCGCCGCGTCGCCATGCCCCAGATGGGAAAGTGGGTGCACTGGCAGGGCATGGCCCCAAACAATGTGCCTGCGCACACTCGTCGAAGCCTGCTCCATCCTCACCACGGGCCTTGTGTTGGGCCTGCATTGCATGCCGGGTCGGCAGCGAGTCGTAGCAGTAACCTATTACATACTGCAGGTGTGCACCGTTTACGTAACATTGAGTGGAAGGGGGGTTTGAAAGTCTGAGCACGACGTTCTGACCTAGAGCTAAGGAACAATGGGGGACGGGGCTGGGCATGCACCGGTGATGGCTGCGGGCCGCACCTGCACTGGTTTCAGCAGGTGGGAGTTTCGGGGTCCCGGCCTGCAATAGTCTGGGGCTGGGACCCAACCGGAGCATGCTAGTACAAGGTGGTGCAGAGGTTTGAAGGCGTAAGCAGAGTGCAGGGTGGGGGGTGATGGAGCAGGAGAGCGTGGTACTGTGACGCACGAGGGGATGGTTCGACGAGGGCCCAGGGGCCCCCAAGCCACTATTCTTCCTTGGCCAGCACGGACGCCCAGCAGCGTTGGAACAGGCCAGGCCGGCGTTGGGGCCTGGTCGGTGGCCTTTCATGCGGCGCCCCGGCCTGCAGGCCTGCCCCGCCCCGACCCTCGCCGCCCGGCCGGCTCCCCCGCGCCCTGCGCCGCCGCGTCCCGCATGGCCTGGGACTCCCTGCTGCGCACGCTGAGCTGGCGCTGGATCACCGAGCCCGGGGTCGTGGCCCGGCTGCCCGTGCCCGACACCTCCTGCGCCGGCGCCTCCTGCGCCGCCCGCGTCGCCGGCCCGGCCCCCACCGCGCTGCCCGCCGTGCGACCGGCCTCCAGCGCGGCCTCGGCCGCCCGCGCCGCAATGTGCGCGTGCGCCGCCAGCAGCAGCTGCAGCGGGCTGGGCGGCAGGGGCGTGGCGGGCGCGACCACGGGGGTGGTGGCCGGCAGCGCGGTGACGGGGAAGGTGGGCGACGGCGTGCGCTCCGGCGGCCCCGCTCGGCCGCCGGCGGCGCCACCGGGGGCCTGCTGCCGCTGCGAGGGGCCCTCCGCCGCGGGGGGGGGACCGGGCCACGCTCTGACCCTGGGTCGCGGCCTCCATGGTCTGCAGGTAGCGCAGCAGGGCGGAGGCCGGGCCGTCGCCCGACGTCGCCGTGGGCGGCGTGGAGGCCTCCTCCCGCAGGTACGGCTGGAAGGGCGAGGCCGCCCCCCCGCGCGCCTGCGCGGGCGGCTGCAGCGAGCGCGCGCCGCGCCGCGCGCCGGAGAACGGGCCGCTGCCCACCGAGGTCTCCGCCTCCGCGGCGGAGGCGGTGCCACGCGCGGGGGCCTCGTACAGCACCCGGCCGCGGAAGACGGGGATGGGCCCCACGCCGGCGGTCTCGCCTGCGCCGCCGGGCGGGGAGGCGGACCGCGGCCGCGACGCGAGCGGGGCGTCGCCGCCGGGCGGCGCCGCTCTCGCCGCACCGCTGGGGAGGGCGGGGGCGCTGGGACTGGATGTGGCGGGGGGGGCTGCTGCGCGGGGGGGGGCTGAGGCAGGGAGGGCTGCTGCAGGGAGGGCTGCTGCGGGGCGCTGCGTGCCACCGACGCGCGAGCGGGCGGCGCGGGTGCCCGGGGGTAGGACCAGGCCCGGCAGCGGGGGAGAGGTCTCGCGCCCCTCCGCGCCGCCCGGGCTCAGGGGTTGCGGCGCCGGCGCGCCGGGCGCCCCCCGCGCCGGGACCCCCGGCGGAGAGTTGAACGCGCGGCGCCCCGCGCCGCTCGCCTCGGGGGGCGTCCCCAGCGCCAGCAGGCCGGAGAGCGAGGCGCGGACCGCGGTGGGGCGACTGGGGCGCTGACTGCCGCGCGGCGGGGGCAACCCGCCCGCCCCGGGCGTGCCTTCGCGCTCCTTGTCGGCCGCGGACGCCGCGGCCTCCGCCTCGCGCTCCCGCTCCGCCTGCTGGTGCTCCCGGTACGCCGCCTTTGCCGCGTCCGTGGCAGCCTGGAAGGGGGCGCGCTGCTCCTCTGCAGAGCGTGGGGGTGCGATTGGGAGGGGGGGGTCATGGGTCTGGCAGGAGCGTTTGAGCGGCCATGCATTCCTGGCCGCGGGAGGGCAACAAAAGGCTTGGCGGGTTCACCCCCGGCCAGCCTGGGGGCCTCGGAGCCCCCCCCACACTTGCTTGCCACCTGGAGGCACAGGAAAGCATACGGGGGCGGTGCGCACTGTGCCCCTTCCCACGCCCACACCTCCTCCTCACCACCACCGCCCACACACCAGTCATGGCCCGCCAGGAGACGGAAGCTAGCTGCGAGAGCGTCTTGACCTGAGGGGTCGCGCGCGGGTGCTCCGCCTGGTGGAAAGGAGGGAGCAGAGGGAAGTGGGCATGATGCTCCATGGCCCTGGAACCTCTTCCCATTGGCAGGGCGGGCACAGGCTGGTTCCTCACATGCTCTGATGCAACACAGTCTGCTCTGCTCGCCACCCACCCCCCCTCAACCACAAACGCCGACGGGCACACTGCGAGGATGCTCACCCTCCATTGGTCCTTGAAGGCTTCCAGGTAGTAAAAAAATGCACTGCAAAGTGAGCAAGAGAGGGATGTCAACATCTATGAGCAGGTCCCGCTGGATGGTCACGGCCACTGGGCAGGATCAGCCCCTCCAAGCCGCCCCGCATGCAGATCAACCTGCTCCACCAAAGAAAGTGGCCTTGGGCCTCACCTTTTGGGACGGGGAGGGGTGCTGGGGCCCGCGGGTTCCTCCGCCTCTGCCCCTCCCTCCCCTGCTGCAGCGCTGGGGGAGGCTGCCTCTGCCCCTGCCGCCTGCTCAGGGGATGCAACCTGTGTGAGGAAGAGACATCATGTGAGTTCGGCCTGTCTGCACCCTTGCAATCATCTGCCTGATGGCAGGCGTGGCCCATATGCCTTCAGAGCACCACACACCAGGGGTTCTTGGTACTCCAGTTTCTGACGCTGCTGCTGCTGCACTGGCAGCGCGGCCGGCACTGCCAGGCTCGGGCCCAGCTGGGGGGCGCCCCTGGGGCTTGGCCCCGGCACATGCACAGCCTCCTGGGAAGGACAGGCGCCATCAACAGTGGGTTGAGAGCTGCGCTGGCATGGCCAACCAGTGGGACAATATGGATTCGCCATGTGTAGTCCCTCCCCCGCCCTGCCCCGCTGACGGCACAACACCGACAGCCACCCCCCCCTTCGTCATCCTCGAGCAACGCGTGATCCCAGTCCTGAAAATGTTCCACACATCCAGATTTTCACCTCTGGGGAGGCTGAGGCTTGCGCCGGGTCATGGCTGCCTGCTCGTGGGGTGGGCATTTCACCTCATGGCGTGAGCCGGCTAACCAGGATGGGTTCCTGGCAGCAGCCGACATACGGCCCGCCCCGCGACCCGTACCTCGCAGCGCAATAAAGGCGACCGAACATCCATATGCGCATGCACCCACATTCCCTACCTCTTTGCCGCTGTGATGGCGGATGATCCGAGCGCCGACTCTCCTCGCTGCCCTCTCTATGGCGCCGCTGGCCAACAACCCTGGGACGGGCTGATGGGGCTCGAACCCGCGCGAGCTCCGCCTCAGCCTCCCCGGCGCCTGTCTCTGGCCTGCACATGGATGGAGAGTGGCATGCGATGTGAACTGCATCGCCCCGCCGCGTCCATGCGCCGGCATCGGCGTGGTCGTACATGTAGAGGCGCATGTGGGGTTGGAATTCGCGTCCCCTCGCACGCACCCTTGTGCCCTCTGTGGAGGCTGCCGTGTTCTCGCTCGCTGCCTGTGCCCTCGACTGCTGGGCCCCAGGGCGGGAGTGGCTCCTGAACTCCTGGGCACGGGCTCCTCCCCCGTCGAGGTCGACTCAACGGCAGGTCGAGGGCCCTGGCGGGGTGGCATGCGAGCGTGCAATCAATTCCCCTTTTCCAGGCATGTGGAAAGTGCTGGATCAGGGGAAGGAGAGGCTCTTCACCAGTGATTCTTGCATAGGCCGGGCAGTGAGTGAGGGTGGTGCTCGGACGGTGTGGGCCCGGCCGCAGGTGGCATGCGCCCGACGTTAAACCAAGGTATGGATGTGGGTTATCGCGTCCCACATCCATGCCTAGGCGTCGGTTTGGATCCATCGGGCGCCAGTGCTGCGCTCTCTCGGCACGCCCAAAAGCAATTATCGGAACTGTCAAAACTGTAAAGTTTTGTCCATGCGCCCGGCCCACGTGCATCACATGCCCAAGGCAGGACATCGAGAACCCTACCGCATACCAATTTGCACACTCAGCTTTTATTTGCTGATGGGGCTAAATCACGTTTGGAACATTTATACTAGAATATAATTCTCTGTACTCGAATACAACACACAAAAACTTCCCTAGTCCCCAGCTTCAAGAGCCCTGTCGACAGTCTCCTATACGACACCGCTCACCCACCTCCCCGCACCTTATCGGCAGCTGAGCACGATGGCGCAGCAGCACTTTGTCAACAAGATCGAGGAACTCGTGCAGGAGTCCCTGGAAGGGTTGATCGACTCCAACCCAAACCTCATCCGCCTGGATGGCTATCCCCACGTATGGTGGTGACGGGAGGGGGGTCGAGAGTCGCTGTCCCCTATGAACCGCAACTGCCCTGCCTACTCACCCATCGATCCCTCCTCCTCAACCAGACCAAGGTAGTGTACGATCGCAACCACGATGCCAGCAAGGTGGCTGTCATCTCCGGTAAGGCTGCTGGGGGGGGTGCGTTCGCGTCGTGCCCCGGATCTCCCCCCCAGACATGCACCAGAGGCACACAGGGTATATGTCAATATGCATTCCCCGGCTGTACATAGGTGGTGGCTCTGGACACGAGCCCGCGATGGCGGGGTACGTCGGGGCCGGGATGCTGGCCGCTGCCGTGGCGGGGGACGTGTTTGCTTCCCCCTCCGAGGACGCAGTCCTGGCCGCCATCCGGGCCGTGGGCGGGCCCGCGGGCGTGGTCCTGATCGTCATGAACTACACCGGGGACAGGTGCATGGCACAGCTTGCATGCGTTTGCTGCTGGGGGGATGAGGGGGTTGATGGCGTGGGGCCCTCAGTGCAGATGTGCTCGTCCTCATGTGCCTGGGGAGAGTGCGAGCAGACACTCGGGCGCACCTCCCGGTGCCTCGTCTGTCGCCACCCGGTGGGCTTGCGTCGCTCCCCACACCCAGGTCCCCCCCCTTATGCGCATCCATGCACCCCCGACCCCCCTGCTGACCCCACACCCCAAACACTCCCATGCACCCAGGCTGAATTTTGGTGCCGCCGCTGAGCGCGCCAAGGTCGAGGGCATCCCCGTGGACATGGTGATCGTGGCCGACGACGTCGCGCCCATCGAGGGCGGCACCGTCAAGAACCGGCGCGGCATCGCCGGGACAGTCCTGGTGCACAAGGTGCGGCGTGGGGGGGGGGGGAGGCGCGTTCTTTCTGACTCGTAGATGAGAGGGTTGGATGAGGAGGCACAGACGGAGGGCTGCCTGAAGACACAACCTTACCATGGGACGAGAAGCCTGTAGCTTTTCATGAGCTGCCTGCGCACCCACCAACCAATTCGTTTCGGAGGTGTGTGCCGGGGACGCTGTCTGCCCATCCATGCGCACACACACCCCCATCCATCCCCCGACCCGGAAACAATCGCAGGTGGCTGGCGCTGCCGCGGCGGAGGGCCGCCCGATGTCCGAGGTGGCGTCTGCGGCGCGCGGCGCGGCGGCGGCCCTGGCCTCCATGGGCTGCAGCCTGTCCACGTGCAACGTCCCCGGCGCGCCGCCCTCTGACCGCCTGGCGGCGGGCGAGATGGAGATGGGCCTGGGCATCCACGGCGAGCCCGGCGCGTACAAGACCGCGCTGGCCCCCCTTGACCAGATCGTGGGGCGGCTGGTGGGCCATCTGGCCGACGCCGGCGCGCTGGACGCCGCCTCCCCCCGCGCCGTGCTGCTGGTGAACAACCTGGGCGGCAGCACGCCGCTGGAGGTGGGCGCGGCGGCCTCCTCGGCCGTGCGCGTGCTG